AGAAGTCTTTCTCCAGGCAACAGATCCACACCACCATTACTTACATTCATCAGAGCTGTTTCCAGAATGTCATCGATGGCAAAGTTGAAGAGGAATGGTGAGATTGGGCAACCCTGCCTAACCCCACTGCTCGAATGGAACAATGGAGAAAGGTGGTTGTATGCCTTCACTCTACCTGAGGTGTTTGTATATAGGGCCTTTAAGATGTTAATAAACTTCTCAGGCACACCCATCTTCAATAAACAATCACAGAGAACAGTCCTGTCCAACGAATCGAAGGCAGCCCTGATGTCAAGAAACACCACGATTGTTGGTCTTTGATAAGTATGGCGGTGTTCTAACATTTGGCAGAGGGTGAAGATATTATCAATACATCCTCGACCAGAACGAAAACCAGCCTGCTCCTCGCGAGTCAATCTTTCTCGGGTTTTGAACTACCTACGAAGTATGACGGAAGCCAATAGCTTGGACACAATCTGAAGTAGACTTATCCCCTGATAGTTGTTACAGGAACGACGTGATCCCCTTTTAAAGATAGGGACAACTATCGACTCATTCCATGACGTTGGTACGCTCTCTAGTTCCCAGACCTTTGTAAACAGCAGTCAGTTCCCTAGCCAGAAAGTCACCACCATCTTTAAAAAGAGCCGGAGGTAAGTCGTCTGGGCCAGGTGATTTGTAGCGCTTCAAGAGTCGGAGTTCCTTGCGGACTTCCTCCTCGTTTGGTGGATCAGTCGTCACCGGCCATGGAAGGTAGGGCAGTTTGACCGATGTTGCCGGAGCAGCAGGCCAGTTGAACTGCTCTTCGAAAAATTCTGCCCATCGTTCAAGACGTCGATGGATGTTAGTGATTGGCATCCCGTCATCCTTGCAGATTGTTTCGCTCACACCAGACTTCTTGCTACCAGTGGATTGGATGAGTTGGAAGAGCTTCCGGTAATTGCCAGATGCAGCTGCTGTTTCCAGCTCATTAGCGCGCACCGACCACCAGGCTTCCCGGTACTTACGCAAACTTTGTTCAATTTCATTACGTAGCAGTCGCCGTTTGTAGTCAAACTCACGGTCACCCGGAGTAGACCGACGGACTTCGATGAGTTGTAAGGAGCCTGAAGAAACCCAGTGCTTATAAGCAGGACGTTTCGCGAAGCCGCAAGCGGCTTTACTCGCCATTTTCATGGTGTCATGCAACTGCAACCAATGCTCATCTATACTTTTCGGTGGAATAGTAGCTAGCCTAGAAGCTAGCTCAATTCGATACTTACTTGCAACAGAAGTTGCAACCAGCTTGCTAATATCAATCCGTTGATGGCGGCCACTTCGTTGTCCACTGAAAAGTAAGGCAAGATTGGCGCAGACCAAGGCATGGTCAGAGTCCAGATAGGTACTCCAAAAGGAGCGGCAGTCTTGTACACAACCACGCCAGCGGTAGTTGATCGCGATGTGATCAATCTGAGTCCAGGATTGGGATGCAGAAGGAGGACGCCAGGTGGCACATCGGCGATGACTGTGCCGAAAGTTAGTGCTGGCCAGAAACAGGTTATGGTCTGTGCAAAGTTGCAGTAGACGGTCCCCGTTATCTGACCTGCGACCAACGAGTCCCCATCGGCCACCTAAACGACTCTCTTCTGTGCCTAGACGCCCGATCTGAGCATTCAAGTCTCCGGCTAGAACTACAATATCTGTCGAACGCACTCTCTGGAGAAGAACAGATAACTGGTGGTAAAACTCATCCTTGATTGCATCCGGGCTACAATCTGTCGGGACATAGGCGGAGATGACGAAAAGACATCGTTTCTCAAGTCGATTTCTTCTCACTTTGATGGAACTTTCTAATCTCAAAGCACATAACCGACTGTTAATGGGGATCCAATCGATTAGTGCTGCCTCAGATCTAGCGCTTAGTGCGACACCAACGCCAGCAAGACCTGACGAAGATGCCACAGGGTCCCCGGATAAGCGCACGTAAAATAAGCTTTTCGAAGCGACAGATGGAGGGCGAATTTGTAGTACTTCACCAGTCTTGAATATAGGTCTCGGATAGACAACAAACGTCGATATTAGGACTTTCCAAAAACATAGCCAGCCCTATCTGTTGTCCGACCTGTATAAGTGTGCGAACATTGAAAGCAGCCAGTTTGAATGGTGCATGTAGTTTCAGAAAAACTGCTTCAGTATTCGTATTTGGTGATAGCATACAATTTTCAACCAAGCAGTGACTCGAGAACGTTTAGATAGAACCGAGTTTCCGCCATAGGCGAGCTGCTGTATAAGTCGAAAAATAAGGATACATAAAGTGAGGATACAAGAGAGTGAATAAACGACGTAGTAAATAATAATAATAATGTGAATTGTTTGACTGTTAATAGAAGCATGAATAGAACTTTCAGTCTCCAAATGCCTTCACATGGCCATGCGTATACAGCCTCTGCCAGGAAGTCCTAATCCCTGCCTTCTCGTGGTGGGGTTGTTGTTTACGAAATTGAGAGGACGAAAAGCGAATGTCCGACGCTTTAACCGGATCCTAAACCAATGGTGCACATGTGCTCCAGTATCCTGCGGGAACAAATGGCGTATGAGCCAATCGTTGGTCACCGGCTACCATGGGACTGCATCTCCTCACGATGCTCCATTGCCTTGTAGATTAAACCTTTAGGTCAAAGGCTCTTGGGGTGGTCCCCTAAGAAAACTACCTGCTTCGGTCTGGGCACCCGGGCAGTATCACAGCCCACTTAAAATAAAAATGACGATATTTACTGAAAATTCTATTCTGGAAGATGTGGAATTTTTCAAGTACCTGGGAAGCATCATCGATGAACAAGGAGGTTCAGATGCAGAAGTAAGGGCGAGGATTAGCAAAGCATGGGCGGCATCCCTTCAATTGAAGAACGTATGGAACTCAAAACAACTTTCAACCAATATAAAAGTCAGAATGTTCAATACCAACGTCAAGGTAGTCTTACTGTACGGAGCTGAAACTTGGAGAACTACAACAACCACCATCAAGAAGGTACAAGTATTTATAAATAGCTGTCTACGCGAGATACTCAAAATCCACTGTCCAGATACCATCAGCAACAGCCTACTGTGGGAGCGAAGAAACCAGGTGAACAAGAAGTTAGGAAAAGATGTTGAAAGTGGATAGGACACACACTGGAGAAATCACCAAACTGCATCATGAGGCAAACGCTAACTTGGAATCGTGAATGGGAACGGAAAAGAGGAAGGCCAAAAACACGCTACGTTAAGAATTGGAAGCAGACATGAAGAGGATAATTAGCAATTGGAAAGGATTGTCGAGGACAGAGTTGGATGGAGAATTGCGGTGGTTGGCCTATGCTCCTTGACGAGGGTTAACAGGCGTAAGTAATTAACTTATAGATATATATGCCAGAATTTTTGACTTTTGTCAATAATAGCCTTAGTTTGGAATATATCAAGGAATCCTAATACATCTTCCATTTATCTGTCGAAGAAAGTATATAAATTTATTCAGTCACACAACACTGATTATGAGAAGAAACATTTCATCCAGGCATTTGTTTACCATATTAACTAATACTCATTCAGATTTATTTGTCGTAATCTTTAATGATTACAGTTTCCTTGAAAAGACATTCCAAGTAATGATGAAAGACGATCGTTCGTGAATTGTGTAACTGATTTTAATTATAATTTAGTTTCAAAACTGGTTGGAGTGAATAAAGACACATTTCACTGTGGTGCGCTACTGATGTAGACAGATATAAGTAGTATGTATCGTCAATCGAAAGTTAAGATCGAAGGAAAGAAAACGAGAACAGAGGATGATTAGTGTGGAAACGAAGGAACAATCAAATCCAAGACGATTAGTTGACACTTTGAAATGAAGTATTTATTGTATGGTTCTTAGATTTTACTAATTCTGTACTCAAATACATTCAGTTTTCCTTACTGTTGTTCTCATTCACTACATCCCAACAAACAGCATTTAATGAAAACTCCTCAAAAGCTCCAGAAACACAACAGCATGTTCCAAGAAGCTAACAGAATGACAAGGTCACTCATGAACCTATAAAAATTCCTGCCTACGAGACTACAATCTGTAGACGAACCAATCAGACTTAGGATAACATGTCTTGGATTTCAGTACGAAATTCATTCAGCTAACTATCATTTTAGATTATGTCAGTTCGTGATGAAAACCCCAAATCTAATTCATCACACTGGTTTCTAAACTTCATTTGTTCCTAGGTAGTAGGTGAACACTTTCAAGGTCACTTTAGAGTCACTCAAAGATCATCCATAAATTATAGTCTCACCCTGAGAAATTTGGTAGTGGTTAGAAAGTCATTATCAAGCGTTCGAGTACCAGACTTATCAGTTAAAAAGTTTTGATTGATATATTTGAAACGACAGGACATGTAGACGAATATACAGCTTAATATTTATGGCTTACTCATCCCTGTTCGTATTTGGCCTATATTTTCTTCTGTGAGGAGAGTCTAAATCGACAATATGGACGATATTCATTCAGTAAATATAATGTAATAATAACGTGTTTAAGAACGCTTAGAACCCCTTCAATTTATTCGGAACTTCATGTACTTAACCAACCGGATCTATTCTGTTGAGGAAGCTATTGTTACCTGCTAATCGTATGTTAGCCATAGTATTATCCACTTAGCTATTGAGTCCAGATAACCACTAGCTTGTCCAATAGAGTAGTAACTAATTGGATAAAGAGATGATGTTTAAAACGAGCGATACTGGTTACGAGTTCTTGAGTGAACATCAACTTTAAAATGCAGACGCATCTAGTTGACGAGTTCAAAGTAAGATGAAACGCGCATCTTAGATTCCACTGATAACCATCACCCATCTATGCTTAGAATAATTTGACATTTTCAGGCTATTATACTATACAGATAAGATAAATTTATTCTATTTCGAATTTCTTATTATTACACACAAGATATTGTACAAATCTATGATATATATATATATACATATACTGAAGTGTATTATTTTTCAGCATCAAATTTATCATTCATTTCATCTGTTAAAATCTCTTCGTCTTCTTCAACTTTTTCAGCTTGTATATCATCATTGGTATCAACTGATGATAATCCAATAAGTGGACTCACTATTTCAGCTGTAACACTAGAACGCCAATAACCATTAGGATTAGAATAAGAGTTCAATTGACCAATAACACATAATCGATCACCTTTAGTTAAATGTTTAACTTTATCCACAAAGGATTGCTTGAAAACAAACACACTGTAATAAGTGGTGATTTTTGTTATTTAATAAAAGAAACAAAAAGAAAATAAATGGATGAAACTTGAATAGATTTCAGATAGGATATTAACATTTATTTTAGCAAAACAGTAGTAATTAGAATGATTCTAACCTTGCTTATCTCCATGTCAAGGTGTAAAATTAAGCTAACATGGAAGAATTCTATGTTAAAACTTAAGGACAGTGAAAGAAACCCTAACAGTTCTTTAAGAAGCACGATATTCATGTCATATAGTTAACAACAGATTCATTAGAACAGTCAGCTAATTAGTTATGCGCACCTAAGAACCTGTTGTAGACAGGTTCAAGTATCAACGACATGTTAGTAATGCGGAGGATAGGCAACATAAATTCAGACATAGGAACGATAATTGGATTGGTATCACCAAATTTGATGGCTTGGACATGTACCACAAATGTCATTCTGGCGAATTCCACAACGTGGGTTACTTGTGCATCGCGGAATTGATTGACAAAAGTGAAGAGGTGGTCATTTTATGTTAAAATGTTGTGGCATGAAGAAAAACTGTACAAGACTAGCATATTCCGGTCCTTCACAACAGCCTAATTGAGGCCTTAGAGATAGTGTAACACAGTTGCTTGAAACATTATAAGATATGACTCAGGATAAAAGTCAGTGGCGGTCCTTTTGTAATTTTCTCTTACTTTCCTTCAAAACAGTGAAACTTATTTGACTGAAAGTGTTTTCTGGTCATATTTTTCTTAGCTGAACTGCTCCTCTTTTATTTTTCACGTTCATTCATTTATTTTCATCCTTCTTTTTTTTACGATTATACTCACCTTCTTTTCTCTATTTCTTCACTCTCTCAATTTCTTATTGTAGCATACATATATTTCGGTGCCCCTTTATGTCAGTATTTGTGTTTAAATAAATAAACAATTAATTAGACTTACTTATGAAAAGCTAAGGTAGATGAATATCCATTCTCAGTCATATAATTATTTTTCGTTACTAATCCAATAGATGCATAAACATTTTTACCATTAACGCTTTCACCCAAATGTAAAAAAGTCACTTTACCTAACAGAACTACCTGTATGGAAATAAACAATAATAATTAGACAATTACCTGATTTATATCATCTGATAATGTGTTAACTTGACGATATGATAATTTTCCAAGTATTTTAAATAGTCTTGAAAACTTTTGAGATATGTTCATAGTATTATTCCAAATCATCTATAAATCAAAATTTTCTTTTGAAATTATCCGTTCGATTAGAATAGATTATTACAAGAGAATATATGAGTCACAAGTTGAAAGCTTAAATATCAAAACCACTAAAGACAATATTACTGGACTTTAAAATGTATGATTAATAATACAATAAATTGTCCTCAAATGTCATGGTACGGCCGAGAGTTGGGAGAGTCAGCTCTCTCTCTCTCTCTATCTGGAAATGTTCTCACATGGCCACGTACATATAACCACTTCCAGGGAAGTCCTAACCACTGCCTTCTCGCGGCATTACTGTTGTTTACGAAATTGAGAGGACGAAAAGCGAATGTCCGGCACTTTAACCGCGTTGGTGAATATGGAGGATTCATCTAGGGGAGTTGGAAAACCCTCATTTCAAACCAATGGTACACATGGGTTCCATGATCCTGAAGGAATAAATGGCATATTAACCAATCGTTGATCACTGTCTATCATGAGACTGCATCTCCTGACGTTGCTCCACTGCCTTATGGATCAAACATTTAGGTCAAAGGCTCGGGTGGTAGCCTCCCAAGAAAACCACCTGCTTCGGTCTGGGTAGCCGAGCAGTATTCCAGCCCTCATGCAAATTGAATAATTTATGTGGCGTATATCTATTTGGTACTTCATTGTACCAATGTTCATGTGTTTAAATAAATAATCACAATAAGTTCACTTGTGTATAGTTATTATCATTCTATTTATTTTAGATTGTTTATTCAATCACCAGACTGAATAGATTTATATTTAACGAACTAGTGTTTTACAGTGAAAAAGGGTTTTGAAATTCGGTTTACTTTTAAAATGTAGAAGTATTATGAATGACTGATAGATATTTTTAAAAAAACACAGCTAAAGCAATCGTGACTTAAAGTGAAGAACTGAAAATTGTCTCTGAACGACTATAAAATTAAACGCAGGGAGGTTTGTTACTTAACTTTGAACTTATCTAAAACAGTAATATAGATAAAGAAAGAAAATTACTGTTGACTATCGTTGAAAATCATCTTGAACTCTGACTATTGTATGAGTTGAGTTGAGATACTCGTGACTATTGAGTACATACAAGAAATAGGTCAACAAGACTTCTCTTTACAACCTATCTCAAGATGACGACAATATTTGTATTCATAGGGAAATTGATTAAATAGATACTGAGGAGATTAAAATAACTTACATATTAAGATAGTCTGGCAACATATAAATTTTGCTATAAAAACAATATCAAAGATAATTAATTCGTGATCAGATGTAAGTAAAAGTCAGTAGATCTTTAACAGTTTACTCGAACTAAGGGGCTTGTGAATGTTCATATCTCATGAATAGAAATGCAAACAGGCAGAAACACCAATAAAAACAGTGAGTCTGCGGGATGACACAACACTTATTCTGTAAAGTTGTATTGGTGAGGCTGCTTCTCATGAGTTATATACATAAGAATAGTTTTAGCTTCATTTAGCTAATACATAACAAGTGCAATCTTGGTTCTGGATTTGTCAAGTGACATGAACTGTGTTGAAGGTAAATAAGGGTAGATTATATTTTAATCGTGGAGTCCACATGTGTGTTCAAGTGTATTCAAATATTACTTTAAATAAATGAACCATAATAACCATGTTTTTAGATTATCCAGAATGTAAGGATATGTTTTAACCTTGTTTACCAATAAGGAATGCTTTAAAAAATCTACCATTTAGTATACTCTCGTTCAAAAAACAGCTTCAGGTGGAAATGAGCGGAATAAAAGTGAGATTAACTACGGAACAAATTAGCTAAGTAGACAGAATGTGTATGACTTTCTAACAGTAAGGCGACAAACAATTTTTACGCTAAGAACCAATAGTTGACAACGTGTGTTGTAAAAATAATACATCTAATGGTGCAATTATAGTAGGGACGCTCGTAGCTTCACGACTTAAATGTTACAATCTGACCACATCCAGGGGAACCTACCATAACAACCAAGTGAGGGATTTCTGACAATACTATTGTCACAAAAAATATTAAAACTTGAAGAACGTCAAAAGCCTTCTAGTTAAACAATGGTTGAACTCTGAAGTTAGATTTACATATTATATGTACTGTACATCCATACAAGATACTTTGTCCATTGGATTAATAATAACCGCAACAACCCACCGTAGCAACGAACAAACCAACTTTTAACTGAAGAGGAAATTAGGAAAATACGCTAGAGGTGAGTAGGAGATACACGGTGGGAATCATCAAACTGAATCACGAGGCAATCCCTAACCTGGAATCCTGAAGACAAATGGTAAAAAGGGTACCGAGAAAAATGTTACGTCGGGAATTTGAGGCAGACATCAAAGAAATAAGTAACAGCTGGAAATAACGGGAAAAGAACTCAGGACAGAGTTGGTTGGTGAGTCCTGGTCGGCAGCCTATGATCCACTAAGGGTTACAGGCGCAAGCAAACAAGTATATCGCACATCGATATATCACCTGATTTTATTTTATAATGCTTTTAATTAAAGACAAATAACTCTAAAGGTATAATGTACAACAGAGTATCAAGATATTTCGTGCTGGTCACTGACCAATATTTCTGTGAGTCAAGTTTGAATGGGTAATACAGCAAGAATACTACATTCCAAAGACTTTCTATCAGTGCCGAATGTGATCTGAAAGTACTACTAAGCTGGTTTAGATTGCAACTAATGCCTGTCAACTGGTCATGATGTTTACATGCACAGTGGTTACGCTAATGTAAGGACATACAACACAGAAGCGTCAATGTCTTTAGTCATACTTAGTGACATTAGGTTTCGATCTAAGAACAGTAACACGCTGTTGTTTGATTGCAGTTAAAAAGTGTAGAACGCTAGGACATATAATGGCTAAGTGAAATACAAAAATTCACTGCAGTATTTCCATCCAGATTGATCTTGGACTGCAAGCCCAGATTTTAAAGGTATTTCCGCTATGTTGAACAAAATGGAGAAAACACCTAACCAAGTGACTGAGAGAATCCAAGGTTTGCCGTACACACTAAGGTTTGAGGTTTTTGACTTGCTTATTTTGTGTTACAGCAGATTGTTGTGATCTTGTTTTTACAAATTAAGTACGAAAGAATGGTATCGAACCTGACATTTTTTACTTCTAAGTATGTTGAGAAGACTCCGAGAACATAGAAAGTGAGTTCGAAAGTCAAGAACCGACATTATCCCTATGATACACAGGTTTCCATATAGAATATTAACAGAGCCTATGCCAATCTACCAATTCCGAGATTACATTTTGGTGAACTTGGATGAATCTTGTAATGAATTCTAGGTCTTGGAGAAATCTTGGAACTAAATCCTAAACCTATATATTACCGAACTCAAGCTGCCAATTTTGGGGAAAATTTGGCACATTTTGGGGAAGCCGCTATCGTAAATTTTGGGGAAATGGCACAAAAACCCCAAAATTTCCCCAAAAGTTGGGAGCTCGGGAACCTTCTGTTATTTCCAGGAAAATTACCGGAAGTTAAGCAATTCCATCTCAAGTTTTAAAGCTTGTAACTACACTGAGAGGTGTAAATATCTTCAAATAACCTAGTTAATGAACAATTAGGAACGCATGGAAGCTTACCGATAAAAAGTTAACAAAAGCCACCAGCCTCACACAGAAAGCTGGCAGCGTATCCTCAATACATAGATTTCAAACTGGAATATAAAACCTTATTCCCAGAAGTAGCTACTTACATCATTTATCTAAGACGACAACAGGAGGGTGACAATGGTAAGACAGTAACGTGATTATCAAATTCTCGCCCTGTTGTACGTTGTTAACTTTCACTGCCTACATAGTAGGTAGTCAACGTAGTCAACAAATGAGATTAGTCAGTATTTATATTTTCGCGAGTTTCACCTAATTAAACAATCATTACTGCTGAGTTTGAAACGCTGTTTAGATCGTTATGTAAATTTTCTTGTGTTGCAGTACTGCAGTCAAAGAAGTTTGATTATTCTATACTTCTGCAGGGTTCACAGTGTTACGTGATCAAATACCGATCCTTATTGTCTTGAATTCACACCTTTATTGCTGCAAACTGTTTTTGCATTTTGTTCGTTTGCTAAGTCATGGGCTCACTAGTTCCATTATTCTACTCTCATCCAGACTACCTCACGCGCGCTTCTTTGCACTCTCCCTTAGCATCCTACGTAACGATATTGTTCTTTACGCACTTGCATTTTTGGTCCGTCGTAATCTAAAAATAGGTTATTTCAACTGATCGATAATATATCTCATCTTTCAGTATATTTTGATGTAGGTTATTTTCAGCCTCATGACCTCCGTAAAGCATAATGGATATTGTATCCATCTTCCACTGGTTTAGTGAGTTTGCTGCAGTTATTACTGTTTCAGTGAGTAATAATATCGCCATTCGTGTGGCGCTTTGCGTATTGACGCTGTCCACAACCAATCAGTTATTTCCGCCTCGAAGCTATTTGTCAGAGTTATTCGCCATCCCCTTTTCGGTTTATTACACGTCTTTCTCGGATCAACTCATGTTTTTTACGAGTAACTGCTAGCTATCTGTCCTAAATTCCCATAATTATCAGTATTTTCACGTATTATATGAATTTTTATAACGATCCGTATGTATTAGTTGTTTTTATTAGTCCTGTCAAGGCCAAACTATAATAAGATTCCGAAAACCTCCCCTCAACTTAACAAACCGTATTAAGCCTAACAAACTAACTGGACCACTAGTTGGAATTCTCTCCGCGTCTATGCTTTTGTTCGTTCAGTTAGCCTACTAATCCAGATGCAACTGGAAGTCAACCCATACGGACAGCATGCCAACACGAATGATTCGAACAGAAAATGATGTTAGCATCAACATTTCAACTAGATCAATTGTTTGACTATCTCTGGGCACAAAAGAACCAAACTGAACATAAGTTAAGCTTCTAAGCAACGGTCAGTGCTTTGTATCTTACGAGTTTGAAACCCCAGATATTTGTCAGCTCATTGGTTTGTGTTTCGCACATGCGTCTTGTAGGAAGTAGTGTCCTACAATTCAATCTGTCATTCCCAAGTTAATCTCTGCCCTGGTCCTTGTTTCTTGAAATTGATCTCCAAATGTGATTTCTGCATTTGACAAGTTCACTGCATCTGTAGTACCGCACTGTCATGATATCGCCACGGGTCTGTGTCGAATCACCCCTGTTTGTTATTGTACTTTTGCCCACAGCGAACAGGTCAAGGGAACTAATAAAAGCGATTCTTAAGACCCCACTGGAAATAATCATTTCAAACCTCACACAGACTCGACCAAACACACGGCTATGAGAGTAACAACACGAATTCATACACTAGTGAAATTACCATCTGTTGCTAATACCACAATAATAGTTGATACTGTAGAACATTAGGTGAACATCGGCAAGTGACTTGGCAAATGCATGACCCTCGAAGTGCTAGAAATAGGGGACAAACACTTGGAACTGCTTAATTTTATTCAACGTTCTAATGCCTGATAGTGGCTTAGTAAAAACTAGGGAAAGATTAATCCCGTGCGGTAAGAGTGAGTATAGATTCAGCACACGTTGTGCAAAACGTACCACAGATACCCTGGAGGACATCGGTGAGACAATCCTCTAAAACTCGAGTTCGACACGTTAAACCATGGGCATAAGAGATGTTGTTATAAGATCAAAAATCACCCAAGAGCCAACCAGAATAGTGCTTTACGAAGTGCCCGAGCTAGTATGTGGTGGTCACAATGGAGAATACTGAAATGATAAGCGATAGTGGTTTCGGTTTTCACATGGCCTAGGATCTCACATCATCATAATATTAAGCATGTTCGGACTACCTTGTCCGTCACATCTTGCGACCATTTAGTCTACTCGTTTCATAGCTGTTAACTTCAGAAAGCTGGAGGATTTAATTGAGGCCCTTCAGGTGCACTATTGTGAGATAAGATGGTGATTGGAGGTAGTCGACAGGAAACCCTGGACCCGATCTGCACTAAGAAGGACTAGAAACGCATGACATTGACAAGGACCCAGTGATCAATCAATTGTGATTACATCTCAGTCCTAGAAGAGGTCGGTCGCGGCTCGAATAGCTCACTGGTAACGTTTCTGACTGTGAAGCTGGGTGACACGAAATCGAATCCGCCAGGGAGCACCAGTTCCCTCAAGATTACAGGTACCCCTTGCTGACGAGTGCCAAGTAGCGCGAAACCCAGGTACAGGGTTTCCTGTCGACTACTTCCAAACACCATCCAAACTGATCAGTCTCCTTTCTTATGTGAACCCTTAGTAGATTGCCTCAATACTGTAATTTGGTGACAAATATTTAGCAAAGTTGTGTGGTAGCTAACAGTGGAATCCAGAATGTGTGTCTTTTCCGACTTCAGAATCACAAGCTGGCGTGTTTACATCCCAGGTTTGATATTCACAACGGAACTCAAATCTATGACTTGCGCTAAAAGCATACAATACATTATCCATTGAGCTGTTCAATCCAAACCGCCAGTAGTGTGTTATTATCATCACCAATAACATTTGTACAAACAACTGCCTGTTATTTTCTTATGTTAATACTCTATCACTTAAAATAATGAGAGCTGTAAAGATTCTTGGATTTTTCAGGCAGGCTGTTAACTGATCAGTTTTAGATGACCAAAAAAGTTAGTTATTAGTTTTATGTTTAAGTGTTGCACTATGGATTCAGTTTTTATGACCTTTTATAATGATCACATCGCGTCAACGTTGCACACCAGGTTCAAGATCGGCATTGTTTTGGGAATGCTGGTCGTGCCAAGTATTTGTGCAAAACAACTCTTTAGGGAGTTTATAATTATTGTTGAAAAAAGAGAAACAAAAGAGCAGCAGGGCATTTGGATATAAACCCTAAACAGTGATGGACATTTTATAGTGGAACAGATTAAGATATGATAAATTGGTAGGTTAAGTTCATACTAAAACCTAGAGTGAAATGTGGCTATGGTCTTTAGATAAGAGAATACACCAATAAATGACAGTGAACTGTGATATGTAACAAAGTGAAATGGGTTGAAATGGTTGAAGGGGAGTGTAGTGTCAGTCATTATTTTAAGCCCATAATATATCTTATTCTAGTTTTTGGGCAAACCAATCTATTCATTCTACTTGAGTCATATTTTACCTTGTCAATTATTCGCTTATCAGTCTTGACTGTTTTTATATGAGCGTATATCTGTGTACACTTCATATCCTATGTCTCATCACTAGTCTGTAGTTTATTTTGTCTGCCTATAAATATTGAGTAACGCCTGGCTAAAAAGGAGTTGGCTTAGCAGCCACCTCCCCTGCGTCTCATTTTGCTTTGTTCTACTACATTCACTTTACATACAAAATTTATGTATTCAAAGGCCATTCTCGTTAGTTGAATTATCTAACTTCCGTTATTGACTAACGTGATTTAAGTCGATGGTTGTATACGAGAATAGGCGACATATATATTTCAACAACAATCATCTTTACGATCTAATTGGAGTCAGATCCACGGGCCACTAAAAGAGTCGAAGTTAGACTAAGAAAAGCTGTCCATCATAATTGGAAATGCATCACGAGTGTAAAGTGTTAAGGAAAGCTGATAACTATGTCACTTATTGTTTGGTTTTTTCTTTTCTTTTCCTTTCATCCGATGCCAGGCGATAGGTAGTAATGTAAGAGTCTGGGTCAGGATGTTGTATATCATCTTAGCAGAATAGCGAATCCAACATAACATTGAGGACATAAGTCTAGATTCTGAGCGTAGGACAATATCCTCAGTTTAAATGAACGTTGCCTAATCCTAAATCATAATGTGCGTGAAACAAACAAAATGTTCTGTCCCACACTCATGTGTAGATTGAAGTCATAGTTCTCAACATCAATGCTTGCTGGTCGGTAACTAATATTCATCCACTTCGCCAATCCCATTGATGGAGTACCGTTTATACTTCTCATAACGAAAATTGAAGACTGGTTTTACTGAAACACCTATATCTTGGAGAGAACAGGACACATCGTACCAAGGTAAATGGAGTGCATGAGAGTTGGAAATGCTTTAACATCACAAGTTTCACATGAGCAAGTCAGACTACAGCTACGACTTAGACAACCCTTCTCAAGAAGTCATCAATTTGCAAAAGATATAGGAGTGTTGGAACCCTACGATTTAATGTCTTACTCCAATTGCGACAAAACTGCCTTTCGAGCAAATCTTGCACTGTTAACATTGGAGCTTATTTTTGCCAGTTTGACGGAAAAACGTTCTAAATTATCTTCAACAGTTTTATTCATTTCCATTTGGAGTACTTAATCATAGTGTTCCCACCCTCACTCCAAAAGGATAAGGACACTCTGGAACGTATCCAATGGTGAGTCACGAAATCAGTTCGAGGACTTTGATTCAAGGGTTATGAAGAGCGCCTTCAATCACTGACCCCTTACCCATTACAGTACAGGAGTCCTAGAAGTGACCTAATGTCTTATGGCATCCTAAATTCTTCTGGAATCCTCTTAAACACTTTCTTAAGCTAGGTTCCAACATAAACCTAAGGAGTAACACTCAGAACCTGTAGACACAACAGAGCAGAACAGATTGCAGACCAAACTTCTACTTCTTAAGAATACTCAAATGCTGGAATTCACTGCCGGATAAGTTCATCCAAGAGAATTCCCAGGAGTCCTTAGGGAGAAAACTTGACACATTCAGAGAACGCTTTCTGAAAATAAAAGATATACAAATTAATGCAGTTTATTGGCTAGACCAGCACTCACAAGTGATTATCAAAAATCTGAGGTTATAAATAAACAACAAGAAGCGTGTTGTAGAGAGACCAAATGGTTCATCCAAGCTCGATACATATATAAGGGCTGTATTCCTACTAATCTATTCATATATATATGCTTTTGGTAATCTCTGTTATTATGATTATTTAAGTCACCAGTTCTTACTACTCCATATTGTATCATACTTTACTGCTACACTTTAATGTGGATACGGTTGTACGTAGCCAAAGCAAAACAACAAACTGAGATGGATTTATACAACTGAGCTATAACATTTTTTGGCGTTGACTGTAGTCTCATATTAAAAAAATACTGTTTTGAACTTTATTCAGAAAAGATTCAAACTTCCACTGGTCTAAGACAAGTTATCAATTAGCGAAAGTGTGTAGCGTGGTGTCGAGTCGTGATTGACTATGAACACCGCTACAAAGGATCGCTTGTCAAATAAATCCATAAAATCCCCCGGAAACTAAATATCAGAAGGCAGTTAATGGACCAAGTCGAGGTATATTTGCTGGCGATCTCGTGGTATCGAAAGGATACCGAGATCGTGCCAGGATACAAGCTTGGTTACAGAACGTAACCGAATTCGCGCGAAGTCACAATCAAAGTGTAAGAATAATGGATGCTTTTTAGCACAGTTAAACAAAAGCACATTAAAACAGTCACTGGTACAATTGGTTACAATAATAATTGTTTTCAATAAACCAATCGTGTTCTCTTGATAAAGGTGAGTCACTACAAGTGTTTTACTTACTCAGATAAGATTGAAATTCTCTCTAGTCATTTACAATCTCAAGGACATGAAGTTTATGTCGTTTCTCGTTAAAGGCAAGTGATTCCCCAATATCACCTCTTACTATTTCAGGAATTCGCAGTGTAACAAGAAAAACACTGATTACTGAGTGTTTATTTGTAGGTGGGACTTTCCTTCTTCCGTATGCTGTTTATTCAAAGAAAGAACTTTTAAGTAAAAGACTATTTGTACATGCTGCGTGCGCTACTAGATTTGCTCCTCAAGGATCTGTAAATTTATTATTTCTTCAATATATCGTTACATAGGTTGTTAGTGAGACTAAGTCACATGCTCTATTCCTGACCATTCACTTGGATCCCCAGGCATCACCGCAAGAATGTTTGAAGTCTATCGGACAAATCAAGGTATTGTAATGTTCTCCACATTTTTCTGACGTTTATATGTAATGACAGTGATACATACACTAATGAAGTTCGTAGGTAGTCGGATATGATTTGTTGAATTTTTTAGTATTTTTAACGGATCATGACATATTCGCAAACACGTTACATACTTATTCATATAAATATGTCTCATTAACGAAAATAACAATATAGGATTGATTTTTTGACCAAGAAAACATCTATTTTTTGCCATCAAGCTCCAAAGCTCTACAAACTAAAGGCTAATAAAATATGTTGTTCAGTGGTTTCTAATGTATGTATTCCTGTTTTTCTTCTATCTTCGGTGATAAAATGTTTATTGTAAATCTGTGAACTCGTCTAACTTCAATCTATGTTGGTAGATGTTTACGTATTATATATAACATTGTCCATTTATACGACTCAATCTTTGTGGTTAAGTTAGAGGTAAATATCTGATCTTATAATTTCATATATAGACTTTGGAAAAAGGCCTTAACGTCTAACCCAGATAAGGACTTATGAAAAAGTGTTAGCGACTCTTTCGATGCATTGATTGTTTCCTGTGTTGGAATGATAGATAATGGTAACATCCTCATTGGGTGTGTGGTTTTGTAACACAAACTCGTAAACACATCCATTTCTCCATGGAAAGAGTGGTGCTTTTTCCACCATACTCCTAATGAGTTAACATTTGTAAAATGTGTTGTCCTCTTATTCATATTAAGTTCTTTCTGCATGATGCAATCTTCCGAACTTTTCGTATCTAAATTTAGCTACTGGAATGTTATTTCTGTGTAATATGTAATCTTATCGTAAGTAGGATAGGGAAATTGGTAAGGGAATTCTTGCCTAACAAAGTTGTATGGTCAGTAAGATCTTTGAGTTTAGACATATTATGATTGAAAACTATAATGTTGCCATCCTACTTAAATTTTACTGACTATATTTATCTCGGGAAATAATAACATTGTTTATGTGCTTTTTACTAATATTGAGTGATGATAGTTTCTGTAGTTCTGTTCAACTAAGTTTAAAATACTCTGATAAATTATTAACGGATTATTATTAGCAATAGATAATACCTGATTGGTATTTTGAATAATCTCATAGATATATTTGAATTAGTGTTTTTGTTTTCATATTGTTACATCTTTATAAAGACGTGGTCGTCAATTATAAAAATACTTGTTCATGATGTATTTTAACAAACGGTTACAATATCACGTTCTACAGCTGAAAGTATTAATAGTGCGTTACATTTGAGGTGATTTCTGTTATTTTTGAGATTGTTATTTGATGGACAAGGAATTTCGTATCAGAACCAAATAGTCTGTATGAGATATTTCTCATCAGATATTCCTGAAAACGTTTTCGCTTCCAAATGTGTAATTTGCCTGAAAAATTGCTTCGACGTAATTGTAGGCAAATTCTTATTTTCGTAACTTTTTCTTCGTTAATTTGATTGCAGATATCAGTAATTTATTGAATGTTATTTACTTGTAGTTGTATAAAGTCTACTGTAATGTAACAGACAGCAAATTTTGGTGCATTCACAATCTTGCTATTGCTTGAAAGCACTTCTCTAGTTTGGTCTTGATAGCTTTTTTCGACAATTGATTTACTTGCCTAGTTTTTGAGCCTTTACTTTTATTGTACACTTAAGTAAATACTTTTATTGAATTGATTGTGGACGGTTTGCGAACATTCTTTAAATATGTCGTGAACTATCTGAAGTGTTCTCGATATCAAGTAAAAATTCAAACGTCCTTTAGGTTTAGACTACTACAGTTCCTTAAATAAGCTACTGACATAAAACTTAATGAATAACATTCATATAGAAAATCTTTCGACTTTTATATTACTAGTACAGATTGAAACCTATAGACTGATAACATTGTATGATCTTACTTCCTCCTGTTACCCCGATGGAGAAACATAGGCCAACCTTCAGTATTCTCCATCTAATTCTGTCCTCGACAATCCTTCCCGGTTGCTATTCATCTTTCTCATGTCTTCTTCCAGTTTCCAACGTAGTGCGATCTTCGGACTTCCTCTTCCTCTTCCATCCAGAATTTCACGTTAGAGCTTGCCTCGTGATGCAGCTTGGTGATTTTCTCAGTGTGTGTCTTATCCACTTGGGGCGTCTTTTCCTAATTTACTCTTCAGCTAGAAGCTGGTTTATCTTCTCTCACAGTAGTGTGTTGCTGATTATTTTCGGCCAACAGGCATTGAGTATCTTGCATGGACAACTGTTTATAAGTACTTGTACCTTTTTGATGATGTTTGTGGTAGTTCTCCAACTTTCAGCTCCGTACAGTAGAACTCCAATCATATTACTTTGTATAAGCTTCTTCGTCATATCTTTTCGTATCATATTGTTTATGTTCAGCCTCTTTTGTTATCATTACAAACAGATTATTTTAATTTCTTTCTCATTCATCTTGTTAAGTCACTCTCTTTGTGCTGATATGGCATGTAAATTTGGGCCGACGCATGTTCGTAACAGGCTCTGCGTTAATTATGTTTGAATCAATGACATTTACCTATAATTAAGTTGTTTTTACACTTTAAATATATTATCCATACATTTGTTCATTAATTCTAGAAATATGTTGATGCAATTTGTCCACCTGACTCACGAAGTGAAGAAGATGAGATTCTATACGGTGTTGGCTTTGGATTTGAATTTCTACAAAAAATTAACCCTAATTATCAGTCTAGAGGAATTAATAATTACGAATACCGTGAACGGTCAGGAAGCCTTGGTAAATTACCTAAAACAGGTAAACTCAGCTTCATTTGTCGGTTTGCCACTTGCTTTTTTATTGTAAGCAATAATTTATAACCTGACAAACGAATGGTTGTGCAGGTTCGTGGAGTTCTTTCCGAATATGATTCTCTGCTTACTTCAGGGAATCATTTTCATCTAGTGGTATTTATATGCAATTTTAGAACTTTGTAATTTTAAGATTGATTAAAAGTATTATTAAACAGTCATTCTGTTACATCAGCCCTTGTGGTCCGGTGTGTGACGAAATCTCAGCACGGATACAGGAAGCTCGACTAGCTCTTGCCAAATTGCGTCATTTATGGCGTAGACGAGATATCCGTCTACCAACCAAAGGATGTGTTTACTGCTCAGCAGTTCGTTCCATCCTACTTTCTGGCTGTGAAACATGGCCGGTAAGAGTAGAGGATATTCGTAGGTTACTAGTATTTGGTGATAGGTGTCTGCGAAGCATTGCTCGTATATCGTGGTACTATCGAGTAGGTAATGGAGTTGTTAGGGAATAGGTACTACTAGGCAAGGATGGGAAATCAATTGATGGAGTAATGAAATTTGATTAGTTGAGATGGTTGGGACATGTGTTACGTATGCTGAAACACTGACTGCTCCGACGAGCGATGTTTAATGGCGTAGGAGAGTAGGTTTGAAGAAAGGTAGGGGCGGCCAGACGAAAACATGGCACAAATGCATAAAGTCACAGACAAGTGGACTGAGCCATATTAGTAGATGCAAACTACCTGGTTGGGATCTGTGAGACGATAGTAACCGCTGGTTGGAAACCTTGAATCGTTTGCAATGGCGTAAGTGCATACACTCTTTATGTTCTTTCAAATTCTAATCTTGCGAACTCTTCATGTCCCTAGATTATACTCTTTGAATAACATCACCAAACCCTGATCTTTCTGATTACTGCTTATACTTTTACTACCTCTACGACTATGGGATTTGAAATGAGAATTGTATCTGTATGCTAATGTCTTATGGCAATTTGAACTGATGTATGTACGTACAAAGTTCCACGTTGTTACTGAATGATTATTACATAATACTTTTAACACTTATGAGATTTTATACATTAATTTATCTTTTATAAATTACATAAGACCAAGTAATCAATGATATAACTAAACTCGATCATTTATTCACTACTATATACATGGATAATTTTATCCTCAATGTATTCCTGATAGTCATTTTATATTATTTAATAACCTAACATATCTGGTTAATCATCCATTTAACGTATTACTTATTCGGCCTATGCTCCATTGGAGGGGGGGGGAACAGGCGTAAGTAAGTTAGTAAGTTTTACTTACTGTTTTCATATATCAAGTATTAAAAAAAACTGACTTATGTAATAATTATCTCGATGAAATGAAGCTTAATGAACGGTTTCAGTAGGCATATAACAGTTTAATGTATCTTACAACTAGTAACTAGGTAACAAAATTGAATCGTAGTTTATATAGTATCAAACAGATAATCAGTTGTTAGCTAAATAAGTTGATTACAGATTATTATTGTTTTAATAAATTTCATAGATGGAGATATATTTATTCATGCTAAATGTCATGAATATGGTAAATTGTTTGAATTGACACAAGCTATTATCAATAATTTACCAAATGGATCTGTAATCAAATTTGAAGATATCTACGGATGGGTTTATCGTAATGGACGAGATTTGAGTGGTTTCATTGATGGTAAAATTATTCTATATGTTATTTTATATTGCATATTTCTATCTTTATTATTATATTCGTAATGGGATTAATATTTACAATTGAATTTGATTTAACTGTTAAATAAAACTTGAAAAGTTGAGATTAGATGGTGGTTGGAGGTAGTCAACAGGAAACGCTGGACCCGGGTTTCGTGCTACTTGGCACTCGTCAGCAAAGTGTACCTGTAATCTTGAGGGAACTGGTGCTCCCTGGCGGATTCGATCTCGTGTCACCCAGCTTCACAGTCAGAGACGTTACCATTGAGCTATCCGAGCCGTGACTAACCTCCTGTAGGACTGAGATGTAATCACAATTGATTGATCACTGGGTGATGATCAATGAATTGTGAAAACTTGAAAAGTAGTTCTCATTCCTAATCTAAATTGTAGAACAAAGATTCAACGGTTATACTTTTACAAAGTATGTATTATAATTTGTTTAATTAATTTAAACGTCAGATCTCCACCTTCGCCTTATTAATTTTAAAAATACACTCGTTATTACATGAAAGATAAAAGTAGAACTCCTATTTGAAAGGCCATGTATGTTTGGGTTTTTTTCATCGCGTTTTGAGTGGCACAGTAAACTTTCTACATTATTAGTTATACCAAGGTATTTGGGTTTAGCTCAACAAGGCTCTGTATTGTTAGTTATATTTCATAACATCTTACGCCATTAAGATACCATGGTCGTTAGGACCATATTCACGGAGTGGTGGTGATGGATGAGCAGCTGCTAGTTGCATATGTCTGTCTTCAATATTACAGCGCCGTATCATAAACTGGTTACCTCTTTAATTATTCCATCCCGTACCACTGTCGGCAAATAATACTTGATGTATAGGTCGTTGAGATGACACTTATAAAACATGCCGATACTAACTAATTATTTTATTATTATTTATTTCAACACATAAATATTGGTACAAGAGAGCACCAAATATATATGCGCCACATCATATTTGTATGTGTGTGTGCTGTGATACTGCCCGGGTGCCCAGACCGAAGCAGGTGGTTTTCTTAGGGGACCACACTCCTAGCCTTTGACCTAAAGGTCTGATCCACAAGGCAGTGGAGCATCGTGAGGAGATGCATTCCCATGGTGGCCGGTGACCAACGATTGGTTCATACGCCATTTGTTCCCGCAGGATACGGGAGCACATGTGCACCATTGGTTTGGGATCCGGTTAAAGCGTCGGACATTCGCTTTTCCTCCTCTCAATTTCGTAAACAACACCCTCACCACGAGAAGGCAGTGAGTAGGACTTCTCTGGCAGAGGCTGTATACGCGTGGCTGTGCGAGAGCATTTCGAGAGGGAGGGTGGGCCCACCACACTCTCGGCCATACCAGGGCATTTGGGGGCGATACCATCTAAATTGATCTTCAAATAAGGGGAAATCAATTGAATTGTCCTCACTGTAATCAAACACGTTGTTGGATCTCGACCTTAGTTACATTTAATTACCAAATGTAAACAAGTCTTCAGGGGAAGCAGTAATGAAACGCACCGAGTCACTAACATCCTTGGCTTAGAGGGAGCATGTTTCAAAAGTAAAATTTTATCTATTTGATTATATAAACATTGGTACACAGAGACACCAAGTAGATATAAGCCACACTTCATCATTTGATTTGTGTAACAGCTGGAGTACTGCCCGGGCGCCCAAACCGAAGCACGTGGTTCTATTAGGGGTCACTCGTTGAGCCTTTGACCTATATGTCAAATCCACAAGGCAGTGGATAAACGTCAGGAGATGCAGTCCCATGATAGCCGATGACCAACAACAGGCTCATACGCCATTTGTTCTCTCAGGATCCTGGATCCCACGTGCACCATTAGTTTGAAATCAGGGTTCTTCAACTCCCCTAGGTGGATCTTGCGTGCTCGCCAACCCAATTAGAACATCAGACATTCGGTTTTCGTCCTCTTGATTTCGTAAGCACCCCCGCTACAAGAAGGCAGTCAGTAGGACTCCCCTGGCAGTAGCTGTATACGCGTGGCCATGTGAGGATATTTCGGGAGCGAAAGCTAACTGTCCCCACCTTCGGTCGTACTGGGGCATTCGCGGGCTTCACAGGTAAAACACAGAACTCTCCTCAACTGTTTGATGTTTACCCGGTATTTAATTCAATCAAAATTAATCGGATTTTAAGTAAAGAACCAGTAGCCATTGTCCTTATACAGTATACCATCACTAAACTGCTTAAAACCAACATCTCCAACGTTTATTTTATTTAATAATAAGGCACAGAGAATCCGGCAGATCCTGATGAACGAGCTGAAGTGGCGATCAATACAAAGACTGGTGGAAGTTACGCTGTTGTTCAAAAATGGGTTCACAATATGGATATGATTCGGACAACAAAAGGTAAAGTATAATATGAATTCATTATATTTCGTGGTTTCTCATCAGTCGCCTACAATCATATATGTATTGAATGTCAACATTAAAGTAATATATCGAGTGAAACGATTGATATATATGAATGAAAAGAATTGAAACGACTAAGGTTATCAATAATAAGTATATGTATATATGTGCAAGAACAGGCCGCAGGTCATTTGGTGTTAGAATCTAAAACAAGCATAAGGGATGGGTTATGCATTAATCAAGTGAGGTTTATATATGATTCCTGGAATTAAAAAAATAATCGATACAATGTGTTACGTAAACTCTGTGAGTATGGGAAATACTATCTCTTTTCTACTTCAAGGACTATCGTCCTTAATGTTTTGACTTAGATAACTCCAGAGAGATTGTTGACACCATAAGTTAGTTTTGGCTAGATAAACGTTTTGAAATCCTAAAACTAATTTATCACTGAATTTTTTTTTGCGATTTTTAATGTTTCACCCGTTCAAATCCGCAATACTCTCCTAATAGTCGAATCTAATAGTTTCGAAAGAAGTTGGTTACCTTAAGACTACTGAGTTTTTTTGTCAATTAGTGATTCACATTACCTACTTTAGTCAAATTTTTGTACTATGTAATCATTTCTTTTTACTATAGAGTAATATCAATCTTCACTGTTGACTTTACTTTGCGGATTCTCATCATCTGCTTACAATTGTAGTCAGTATATGATTAGGTGATAGAGATTAAATGACTGAAAAAAATTGTTGTGACAATAAGTATCAGTACTATATATACATATAAGTGAATAAACACGTCCACAGTCAATCGAAGATAGATACAGAGGATATGAAGGTGAATATGGAAGTAATTGTGTTCATGCCAAACTATATACATTGAAAGAACAATAAGAAGTATGTATATTTTTATTTCCATATTCCAAAGAGTTTGAAAAGGATAGTTGCTACAGTCTTAAACAGTCCAGTAAGTTATCATCTAATCAACACCTAGCGTATCATTGATATTCATCAATTATTTAAAATAATTACTAGTTAAGACGATACAACACCTTTATACTCCTCTTAAACAGTAATGATAAGTACAGGGAGGCACCAAATACATATGCGCCACACAGATCTAATTTGATATGTGTGAAGGCTGGGATACTGCCCGGGTGCCCAAACCGAAGCAGGTGGTTTTCTTAGGGGGCCACATCCGGAGCCTTCGACCTAAAGGTCTGATCCACAAGGCAGTGGAGCATCATAAAGAGATGCAGTCCCGTGGGGGCCGGTGACCAATAATTGGTTCATACGCCATTTGTTCCCTCAGGGTACTAGAGCCCATGTGCACCATTGGTTTGGAATCAGGGTTTTTTACAACCCCCCTAGATGGACTCTCCATGTCCACCAACCCTTTTAAAGCGCCGGACATTCTCTTTTCGTCCTCTCAATTTCGTAAATAACACCCTGGGCACGTGAAGGCAGCGAGTAGGACTTCTACAGCAGAGGCTATATACGCGTGGCCATGTGAGAGCATTTCGAGAGGGAGAGTGGGCTCTCCCCACTCTCGGCCGTACCAGGGCATTTGGGGAACTTATACATTACTTAAAGCGACATTTCTCAGTCTAATTCATAATTTGGAGATTGTAATAATTTAATAATTAAGTTCATGAGTCAATTGAAGCTAGAACATCATGGAAAACCTGGAAGCACTGGATAGCCGCTTCATTCACCGTTTGATGTCGAATCAGTTGTCTAGGACCAATGAGTCCTGGGTTCGAATCTCACAGGACAGGATCACGGATACACACCTCTCAGGAGTTCCATACTAAGATGAAACGACTGTCCAGTGTTTTCAGTTTTTTTTCATTGTGGTCTATCTTCAATTGACTCATGAATTCAATTATTAAAATTACTATCTTCTTCAAAAAAGAAACCCCTCTCTAATTAAAATCTTTTTATTATCATTATTGTATTTTCAGTTTTGTTATGCAATCTTCACTTAGATTAATTTTAGTTCACACATGATTTTGACTCATTTAGTTCATAAACTATTACAAACTTTTCACTAATTAAGTATTACGCAATCAATCTTATCAGTTTATAAATCTTTGATCATTATGACCTCTTTTAACTTATAATTTCAATGTATCTATTTCAAATTAATCTTACATAATCTAATTCACACTTTTTTTTTCGATTTCTCCATCATTATTGTGTAATTTTCACAGTTAAATTCACGAATCGATCTAACTTAGATCACTATTGAACATCTGGAAGTACTGGATGATTGTTTCATTCTAATATGGGACTCTTTATCAGTGCTCATCTGTGATTGCACACTTACGACTTGAACTAGAACTAACTTTCGGTCTTGCACTTGAATGCTTCATTTCTAGACCACTGAACTGCCATCCGACGGTAAGATAAAACAACCATCCAATACTTCCATGTTTTCAATGATGATCTAGCTGAAATCAATTCATGAATTCAATTGTGAAGATGATACAATCTCCACAAATCGCTATACTGATATTATGGGATTGTTTCATTTTATGATGTATTTTAATATGAATATGATTATAAGCAGTTGAGGAGAAACTAAAGAATGAAAAATGTATTTATAATATTCAATGTCAGTTGTCTTGTTTATTTTATCCTTGTTAGTAGTTTGGTAAATCTTTTCTCGATGTATGATTCGTAATATTTTTTTAAATAATGACCCATAGTGTAGGCGATCTGTAGGTTTCATATATTTAACTTCTTTTTTTTTATTTATAAATTTGATGGTACAGTCAAGTCAACATTTGACTTACTTACTTACTTACGCCTGTTACCTGGTAGAGGAGCATAGGTTGCCGACCAGCATTCTCCAACACTGTTCTGGGCCTTCCTTCGTAGTTGTATCTAGCTGTTGTTCACTCTCCTTATGTCTGTCTCCGTTTCTCGGTGTAATGTGTCGTTTGGTCTTCCCCTTCTCCTTTGGCATTGAGGATTCCAAGTAAGAACTTGCCTTGTGACGCACTTGGGTGCTTTCCTCAATATTTTTCCTATTCACTTCCAGCGCTTCTTCCTGATTTCTTTCTCCGCTGGAACCTGATTTTTTCTCTCCCACAGTAGGTTGTTGCTGTTAGTGTCTAGTCAACATATCAGAGGTATTTTGCGAAGAAAATTGTTAATGAACACTTGTATCTTCTGGATGATGGCTTTCGTCGTTCTTCAAGTTTCCGTCTTATACAATAGAACTTTTTTGACATTTGTATTGAAAATCTCGACTGTGGCGTTGGCTGACATTTGTTTTGAGTTCGAGTTATTCTTCACTTGTAGATATGCTGTAGTCAACAATTTAGACAGAATAAATTGAATTCATTTGCATTTCGTGTCTTTTTTCTTCAACCATCATATTAATGTGTGACACCACCTGAATTTCTTCCTCTTCTTTTTCTTCTTCTTCTTATCATTATTACCACTATTATCATTTCACTGTGTTTATTCTGTTATGAAATCTTTTCTAAGACAATTGTTATTTCATCGATCCTAAAATAATCTTCCCATTTATCTGTGTTTTTTTCACTTTCCTGATTCTTAACATTTATATAAAATATTTTAACCTCGTAGAGTTTTCTGACTACCGTAAGCAACAATGCAAACATTTTCGGGATGCGATTCTCTCTTTCGAAATGTAAAATGTTGCTCCAGGATTGTGTTGCATCGGCATCTGAACTAATGATAGGGAGTGAAGTAGTCGGGCGTGTCGACCGACTCATTTATCTTGGGAGTTTCATCAGCCATTGTGGTCCGGTGTGTGACGAAATCTCAGCACGGATACAGGAAGCTCGACTACCTCTTGCCAAATTGCGTCATTTATGGCGTAGACGAGATATCAGTCTACCAACCAAAGGATGTGTTTACTGCTCAGCAGTTCGTTCCATCCTACTTTCTGGCTGTGAAACATGGCCGGTAAGAGTAGAGGATATCCGTAGGTTACTAGTATTTGGTGATAGGTGTCTGCGAAGCATTGCTCGTATATCGTGGTACTATCGAGTAGGTAATGGAGTTGTTAGGGAATAGGTACTACTAGGCAAGGATGGGAAATCAATTGATGGAGTAATGAAATTTGATTAGTTGAGATGGTTGGGACATGTGTTACGTATGCTGAAACACTGACTGCTCCGACGAGCGATGTTTAATGGCGTAGGAGAGTAGGTTTGGAGAAAGGTAGGGGCGGCCAGACGAAAACATGACACAAATGCATAAAGTCACAGACAAGTGGACTGAGCCATGTTAGTAGATGCAAACTACCTGGTTGGGATCTGTGAGACGATAGCAACCGATGGTTGGAGATCTTGAATGACATAGCTCGAAATCGTTTTTAATGAAGCAGGTGCATCCACTGTTTGCGTTCTCTCAAATTCTAATCTTGCGAATTCTTCATGTCCCTAGATTATACTCTTTGAATAACATCACCAAACCCTGATCTTTCCGATTACTGCTTATACGTTTACTACCTCTACGACTATATGATTTAAATCGACATTTGCATCTCTGTGCTAATGTGTTATGGTAACTCGAACTGATGCACGTACGTACAAAGTTCTACGTTGTTGTTGACTGGTAATGATTATTGTTTCTAATATCTTTCATCACCAATATGTATTATTATATATTTTATGATAATTCAATGTAACACAATTTAATACGAATACGTTTGAAATGTCACGAAAAAAGTCACGAAATACAAATTTCAATTCTATGTCAATTAAGTAACGTGACTTTATTAACAAATTCATTCTCTTCTTCCAACCGTTTTCACAGATCAATCTAACTAGTACCATTCTATATATTTTCATTGTTGTTGTTGTGGTGGTGGTGGTGATGGTGATGGTTGTGGATACCTTACTTCATATATTTTGACTAGATTAAAACAATTTCTATCTATAATAAACATAGAAATTATTGCAATATTATTACAAGCAAATCACATTAACATGTGATTTGTTCAATTATACAATAAAGTAATCTTCACAGATTGAAATCATGAATCAGTTGAAGCTAGACCACCATTGAAAACCTGGAAGCACTGGACGGTCGTTTCGTCCTCAGCAGTGCGCATCCACGATCCCGCACCCCGTGCTTCTAGGTTTTTAATGGTGGTCTAGCTTCAACTGACTCATGATTTCAATCTGTGAAAATTTCTAAAATCTCCACAAACCCCTTCTGATAATAATGAAGTAATCGACAATTTTATTATTGTTATTGTGTTGAAAATGTAATCATATTGATTTTCATGAAGTTGCATCACATTTTTAACATATTGTAAACATGATTAATTGTCTTCTGTAATATGATTGCGTAACCAATTAGGTTGAGAGAGAGAGAGAGAGTTGTATTGACTCTGTAGTTCAACTGTTTGATTTATAGATTATCATTCAATGAATGTAATCAGTTTCAATTTGGAAAGGACAAGAGGCTTGATGGTCTGTTTTTAAAAGTATGGAACATAGTACAGATATTTCATTTCGATTCGAAACTGTACACTGATAGGGATCAATATAACACTGTTGAAAATTTGAGTTTGATATTCATGTTCCCAACCGTTGTTGCTACTTTGACGTGGTGATTGGGCTTGCCTATCGTGATGAATTGACCGAGCTATACTGGCTGGAACAACCGTTTCTCAAGGTTCTACCATGTCAGACAGGTCGGCTAAAGAGTGATAAGACTAATAGCAGCAAACCCAAGGTCCGAAGGCGAAATCTTACTAATGGCTGTACATAGGAGTGACAGCAGTAAGGTGTTTACTTCAGACAACCAGCATGACAGCGATGCTGCCTTCCCACAAGGAGGGGTGGGGTTAGAAAAGGTCGACCCTAAAAATTCACACCTCGCCTTATCCCACGGATATCCGTCTCCAGCGGTAAGGTCTCAACAAGTACTGAGCTAACACAAAAATTACCCGTAAAAAGGTCGTGTGTGACCGACCTCAAGCAGTTGTCCGTTGGGCACTGCGGTCACACTCTCAGGTCACTAAGACCACCTCTAATCCAATTTCCTTTTCAGGCAACTCCAGAAGAATCCTTTCACGGCTTGGGCAACCGGGAAGTGATAACCGCCCTCATGTTCTGTATGTCATTCCGTTGCTGAATATGTTATCCTTAGTACTAGGCAAAGATGGCATATCGGTTGATGGAGCTGCAAATTTTCACCAACTGAAGTGATTAGGAGATGTATAACGTAGCCCAGACCACCTTTTACGTCAGTGCTCAACATTGGCCAGCATAGAATCAAGTTGAAAGGCTGGAGCGGCCAAACCCCATATGTGTTATCAGTTCAAATGATGGTATGTTTGAGACTTTAACGGGTATAGACTAACTGGCTGGAGTTCATTCGTTAGTCATAATCAATTGTTGGAAACTTTGTTCGACGTGATTTAGAATTAGTCACATTGGTTCAGATGTACCATTGTCTACCGCGAGATCCTGAGTTTTGAGATTGTTTTTTCGCGAATCGTCACTTTCCTAAATGTTTCTTACCATAACTGATATCACTACCTCTGCCAATCTTATGTTATGAGTTTCATTTCACTGTTCTAATTTGGTGAGGTAACTCAAACTGTTTCACATGTATGCCAGGATCCTACGTTGTCTGTAACTGACTGACTATCCGTCCAATTTTGTGATAAATAGATTATTCTGCATTGCAATGTGGCAACGACCAAAAAATCATTGTAAACTAAAATACTACGAGTTATTCAGTAATTTAGGTCGCTTCACTCTGTACCATGTAAAAACTATTGAAGATCTATTCTATGTAACTTGGTTAACATAACCGAGTATATTATAGGTTTTCTTTCACAAAATGAGCAAATATTTCTACCAATACTCCATTTATCGCGATTGCTCCCTCACGATAGGCAACCTCGTATAAATGCCACTTTTATTTGTTTACAGTAAATAATTATGATTTTCAGATCTTCGACAGTTGGGAGTAGTGGTCATCTAAAAACCCTGGATTCATGTTTCTTGCCAGTTGGTGTTTATCCCTAAGATGTACATGCAGTCCTAAAGGGACACTAGCACTGGGATTCTAAATTGAATTGCTCAGCCGTAGTTCGAGATGTTACTATCGCTACTCAACCAAATACTGACTTTCAGTAGAACTAAGATATTTGAATTCATGAATTGATGAATAATGACCAACATGGTGTTCATCTAGTTCTTTGTCGTGATAGAATTCCATAGACCATATTTCAAACTGACACGGAATCCAATTCTTTCGTTTTTTCCCGACTTCCTCCAACTACCTGTTAGCAAAATACAGTGCACACAATGTCAAGCTACTTAAAACAGTTGGCTACATTACAACTTGATCGATGGGATTCAATCAGTCGTCGTAAGAGCTAGACAAGCATGACACTGGTGAATACGCAAATAGTCAATCAATGAATTTATCTCACTTGTAGAGGAGGTCAGTCACGTCCCAGTCATCAGTTAGTAAATAAGTCACACACAACGTTAGGATCTGGCGTACATGTATATAGGTTCAAGTTGCCACACCATATTAGAAGTAGTGACAGCATCAGAAGTTGTAGAAAAAGTCAGGTATAGACAAGTTAAAAAACAAGATGATTTTGAAAATCAGGATGTTAGAGAATATAAAGAGTGAATGAATCCACGTCATTGTGAATGATTTTGATCCCTGCCATTAAACGTTTCTCACCAAACTGGTACATAGTAATCAGGAATAGTCCCATCAGATAATTAGAACCTATCTACATGACTCAGTTTATTTGTCAATGCGTTTGTCGACCGATGCTCAGTGATCAATCAATCTTCTGATCTCGCAATGAACCTGATACTAATTCACTTCCAAAAAACGATGATTCATCAACACGTATGTAACAGGTAGAAATCTTATATGGGAATTACATTTTAGCAACAGTTATAAGTTTTAATTTATTTGATTTATAGATCACACCAAAGAAGGATGGATTGGTCGAACATTGAAAGATAGTATCGAGTTGAAGAACAAACCTATTACGTCTCATGTCGCCAGAATGGTTGGATGTAAGTAACATTATTTCTCTCTCAATTCGTTTATCTCTCAGGAAATAATTATATTCATTTACTTTATTCCTCTCACGCGGCCTCGCATATACATCCACTACCAGGGCATTCCTACTAACTGCTTTCTTGTGACGGGGCTGTTGTTTACGTGATTGACAGCACGAAAAGCGAATGCCGGCGCTTCAACCGGGTTGGTGGACACGAAGAGTCCACCTTGGGGATTTGGAGAACGCTGATTCTAAACCAATGGTGCACGTAGGCCCCAGTATCCTGAGGGTACAAATTTCGTATGAACCAATTGTTGGTCACAGGGCACTGTGGGAATTCATCTCTTGACGTTGCTCTACTGCCTTGTGGATCAGACCTTTATGTCGAAGTCTCCGGGTGTCCCCTCCTGAGAAAACCACATGCTTCGGTTTGAGCATCCGTAGAGTATCATGGCCCAAACTCAAATCAAGTGACTTGTGTGGCGCATATGTATTCGATGCACCTTTGTACCAATATTTATGTGTTCGATTGAATAAATAAATAACAAATTGAAGGAAATTATTCAAAGATTTATTTATTTTTCAACAGATTCCAGACTGTAGGTAGTTCATATAATTTAACACTATAATATACCTATTTTTATATCCTAGTTTTCAGTAATTTTGCAACTTCAGTTCCATCTGCTTGTATGTCTTTCTGTTGGCGTTATATCCCCCAAGGTAGACGGCTCAATTGTAAACATTTCGTTACTATTGTGAACACTTTCTTGAGCATCCAATTCATGTAAATGCAGGCGAAATCAAATTCTGTAGCTCCACGAACACTATACCATCACAACTATTCATCTGAACTTCAAATCTTTCCCATCAATTACTATCATATTCGAAGTGTGTTTCTGTACTTTTACTTCAGCAGGGTGTATTTCATATTTTATATTTTTTAAACTTAATAATATAGTCTTTGGTGTTTGTTTTTTCCTACAACAATTAGCTGCAGATTATGATGCTCCATCAAAGTACCAAATAGTTCGACAATCTCAACCATACGGAACTTTATCCGGCGATGCTGGTCTACTATTTATTGCATATGCAGCTGACACAAAAAATTTCGATTTCATGTTGGATCGAATGACTGGAGATAGTGAAGATCGAAAAAATGATGATGTAATGCGTTTTACCAAATGTGTCACTGGGAATTACTGGTATTTTCCTAGTGTACCAGAATTTGATCGTTTAGTTGGCGGTGGTCTATGGGGATTTTGGCGACAATAAAATCTAATATCTTATTTTATTTTATTTGTAATGAGTGAACATATTTAAATGAAATATATAACCTAATTTCCACTTTGTTCATGATCTATTGAGATGTAGCGTAATTGCGTATGTAGGTGGCATAGTTCAGTTTAGTTTTTTAAAAAAGGCGCTGACGTTATTTAGAATGCTCTAACCTCAATGAATAACAACAAAAAATAACTAGAATGTTTCCTATCGACTGATTTTTTCAATTTAACAGTGGGGTAATCGTCTTAAACAGTCCACTCACCTTGAAAGTCTCATCTCCCTTGATGAGCCTTGAATTCCTCCCCTCCCCTTGAAACATTGTCTACACCTTATCTCTTCTACAACAATTAGGTTATATGTTGCCTTTGACTGGCTGAATGGTGGGCTCTATGTCGGAAATTTCTACTGTTCAACAGTCTTCGTATAGTTCTATTTCTGTGAAACATGAAAGTTAGCGATACGTAGTGTACAAGACTTTGGTCATAGGTGATGGTAGACGCTTTTTAGGATTGCAAAGAAATGGTGGTTTAATTGGTCACACTACAGATTTTCATTAAATTAGGTATTCCGGGCATATGCTATTTATACCTTGCATCTCTTGCCTCGTACATTTGATGATGACTAACATAGGGTCAAGTAGGGAGAAGTGCAGAAATGAACGAGTCAGTGTTGACTACTAAACTTCGCAATGTTGAGGTTCAGGCGATATTCATATTCTGTAAGGATATCTGGAGGACTTCGGTCAAAATTCGTCGAAGTGGTGTCTTCTTTTCATTATTTCCGGTAACTCGGGGTTTCGAACATCAGCGCATTTTAATCCCTATATTTTATTCATTCTACTCAAACTATGATTCTTAAGCATTTTTCTCTATCACTGATACTACTAGTAATTTGGCTTCTCTGTTGAGCCAAGCTTTTTGTTTAACTTGAGTTTGGGATGCTCTACTCCTCTTCGAAAACAGTAGAAAACATTCATAAGTTATTAGTGCTCGATCAAAATATTACTCTTTTGCGATGTCACTAAGTGACTATTCCCGATGGACGACATGCGGTAATAGACATAGATGGTAAACAGGTTATTGGGATTTTGAGGGTCTTTCAACTCCGGTTGTGATTGCATTAGTTTGGAAGAGAGTTATGAACAGACAAATGTAAATGCGGCAACAATCCTTGAAATTAGTAAATGATGGTCTAAGATGTGCTGGTGAGTTTGATATACCTCGGCGAAGTTTATGCATTTATCCCAATGTTAGTTTAAATGTATCAAAACCTACCGCAATGATGCAGATCCGCTTACTCTTTTTTCTCCTGTATCCCGAGTTTTAAATTGTTCTACATCTTTTATTCCATGAGTCCATTCTCTCTTCTTGAATAGTCTCTACGCTCAATTTTCTCTCACCACTGATATTATCGATACTTCTACAGTCATTCATGTTCAGAAATTCTGTCTTACTATTGTGGTATGATTTGACAACCTGGGTCAATGGACATATATTCCAGGTTCTACTTCACTCATGACTGAATGAGCTGTGGTTATATAAAGATAAACTTGAACTGGTGGACTTCCTTGATCATTCTACTTGATTTTAAAACGAATTTCGTCACGATAACAATACATTTGGATTAAAGGAACCAACTGTGCTGCCAATTGTATTTCATATAAAATTCCTTATTTATAAATCATAATACACAAACATTATTTTCAAAAAAGAATCCGTCGTAAATTAATATTCTTATCTTGGAGTTTTATAAGAAGATAATTTGAAAGTTTTATGATAGTAGTCAATAAACAGTAAAACTTTCCTTCTTTAAAACACAATACGCTTGAAATAAGCTGATGGTGCCTTGGTAGAATTCAATCATCACTAATTATCAACCAAATGCTTTATATGTTGATGAGTGTTATCAGAGAACGAGTCCATCGTTTCCAAAGTTTATAATTATGACAACAGTTTGAGATAATTAATACAGAATTCGATGAGTCATATTTCCAAGTTCGGTCAATTTACAAAATAATTTGAATACCATCCAATGGCTTCAGTGATGAATGTCATACTATCAACCTGGTTGAATTCCACTTGCTATGACTTCTCACTAGAATGTATCACAAAAGTGATCTCATATCACGATGACTACCATATATAAGTATTTACCACTCATTACAACTACAGAGATGTTGAATATCAACCTATATCTCTGATGTTTCTGGATCGTGCGAGACAGGTTTCAGCCTAACTAGTGCAATCTCATAAGACACAGTAGATAGCGCTTATGCTTTTAGTTGGTCTTATAATCAGAGTTATGCGAATTGCCTCAGTTTTTTTACTTTTTTAAACTACAAAATCTGATTTTACTGTGCTGCTCTTAATGATTAGTAAGGTTGGCTAAAATGAGTTTAAACAAATATGGTGTTACTTTTAATGGGTCGATGTCATCTTACATATTATAAAGAGCTTTCCTAGTAGGACTATGAATACTCGAATCTAGCAGACTCCACACGGCTTATTACAAATAGTATGAGGCCGGATCTTTGATTCTTTTCCAACTAGTATCAATATTGTACATATAGTTATTATGGAGATGTTTAAAAAGATGGTATTCAGATAGACTGATTAAAAGTATTAATGCATATGCATCGACGTTGTCCACAGAAGTGTATCATTATGTAGATTTGAAAAAGCCGGAGACTGATCAATAGAAGATGGTTAGCAAAGCGATAAGATATAATCCCTTAAAGTACATGGAAACAGTGGATTTTGAAAGGTACTTTACTTTGAATCTCCTACATGTTTTTGATGTTGACTCATTTTAATGACTGGTATGTTGTATTTTGATATAATTTTAAATCAGAATTGTAACGGAAAGATCATGCAGAAAATTTTCCCAAAGTATTTTTTTGAACAGTACTTTTGTTCTGACGAGCACCTCTCGTTTTATCGCTAGAAGTAATCAGACTAGTAGTGGATAGGTCTTTATTTGTGTAGTGAAACAGAACAAATGGATCTCAAGGTAATTTTCTTCAAATATACAAAGTTTTTCGACATCCAACACAAAATATTGGAAATATAATGCCTACACAAAATAGGGAAGTGAGTGAATACTTGAGCTATAATATTTTGATATCGCTAAGATGTTTGCGGCCAACTCTTTACCAATCAACCTCATCCGTCGCATCAATTTTACCTACGATCGACATCAGCGAGAATGTCATTTCGATCAAGCTATCAGACGAGAACAAATCATTTCGTTTTCCTGGGTCCAAAGGATAATTACGAGCTAATTCAATGTTTAACTTCCAATGGCGACAAACGCACAGTCAGCAGTCGGAGATACTCCGTCGATGCCATTTACTGAATTAGCTTGTTATTTTCACTCATAACTTGCTAAACTTATCCTCTGTCTGAGGATCAGAGAACAAAACCCTCTGCATTTATATAGTGTCCTAGTTTCGGAGGGAAACTGACTAGAAAGTAGGAAAGCCTTTAATATAAAACAGTTGATTAGCTTTACCAGGTTCATGCATTATAAATCACCACGATTATCATTACCACACATCAGCGACTAATTACTATCGTGCTTATTATCATTACAAATTTCACTCTTATTCTCTATTTTTCCATATGCTGACATTGTGTGCACTACCAAAGAACAAATTGATTAACTGGTCAGAACTCAGTAGCTAAGCAAGCGACGCGATGGTGTATAGCGTGGCGTCGAGTGGCGGTTGACTATGATCACCACTACAGGAAGAATACGTGGCAGTTAACCGGTAAGATCCCCCAAAAGCCAAATATCAGAAGGCAGTTGATGGCTGTAGTCGAGATGCGTTTGTTGGCGATCTCGTGGTATCGAAAGAATACCAAGATCGTGCGAATATAAGTTCGTGCAAGGTAACAAGCAACGGAAGAATGTGTGTTTGTAATACAGTTAAACAAACAAGCACGGTAAAATAATTCCTGGCACAATTGATTATAATAATAATTGTTTCCATTACACTCATCGCATTCCGTTTATAAAAGTAGGTCACTACAGGAGTTTGAAGAGTACGGTACTGGTTTTCAGTCCCAGAGTGAGATGTTGACGAGTCCCAAATAGGATGAAATACGCGTCCAGAATTCCACTGCTAGCCATTATCCATCTCTGCTTGTAATGCCTGTGAACCAAGGCAATATCGCGGCATACGCGCGGTATGCATATATGCCAATGAAAGAATGATCACCAGCAGTCCTAAACATCAATGGGAAGATTGAAGTAAACAATAACATGTGAATTAAACTGATCCATTAATTCCTTGAAGCAATGGTCTATCTAGGTTCCGATTTTATTTTTGTGGTTTCCGACATTGAAACCTCTACTCTGTTCTCAGATTATGTGGTATCTCCGGATACCCCGGATTCCTACCGTTTTGAGATAAACTCAGTCAAATCACAATGCATACCAACACAGTAAAAGCCCTTATTCTGACTAAAACTAGTAGAGCATGTTACCAAAAACCCGAATGCATAAAAAGGTATGCAGTGAAAGGAAAGGAATCAATCGATTTATGCAGGCTTGTTGCAATGAATTAAAATTGTTTAACATGGTGATTATAAGAGTAGAGTTCATTGAACTAATTTAAATCTCAAGGTAATGAGGAGTCAAAAATATTTTCCTAGATGTACGTTTGCTGCCACATATCTTTTTTCAACTTTTGAAGGGTTCTTCGGATTCGCATTAGAACCGGTCGTTCTCGGATGCATTTTGCAATTAGGAGTTTTGTTTACTGCTTATATTGTATATTCAAAATACAAAATGTCGTATGAAAACATATTGTTTGCTGATGCTTATGCTGTTAATGGGACTCCTCAGGGATCAGTAAGTTGTAACGAGTTGTCAACGATTTACTGTAGGTCATAAGTGAAACTAAAGAACATTCTTTATTTTTGACTATCCACTTGAGCCCTATTGCATCTCCACAAGAATGTTTGGAGTCTATTGGACATATTGAGGTATTTTATTGCGTGACATGCTTTTAATATTTGCATTCTGGTTATACTCGGCCTCATTCTTACGCATCTGTATTAGTGAATGGGGAGAAAATGTATTATTAGACCAACAGAATTTAACATCTGTACACAACATAAACTCATTTGTATGAATATGAGAAATGAGCCATACATGCTGAATACATTATTCTGATTTTTCTGAATGTTCTTTTTAGAGATATGTTAATTCAATTTGTCCAAGACATTTGTGTCGTGAAGATGAAATTCTATATGGTGTCGGTTTCGGATTTGATTTCTTTCGAAAAATCAGCCCCGATTTTGAACACAAGAAAGTTGAACCCTTTCAATATCATGAACGTTCAGGGGCTTTGGGTAGACTTCCTAAGACGGGCAAGTTCATGTTTTGATTGTTTCGGTGTTACAATAACTATTCATTGAGTATTTCCACTAACCTTTTTAACCAAGTTCATTAAAAATGCGTCTTGGTAATTACCTTCATATTTTGTCGTTATTTTGTCAGTAGCATGCCATTAAAAAGATGTTTTTTAACTAGAAGGTAAACACAAACGAACCGTTCTTACAAGGCGTTGGCAACCAGACTTCCAAGTCTTGCTTTCGAGCTCTAGACGGAGCTAGTTTATTAGCGCACCCATAGAAAATCATTCATAGTTTAAGATGCTCACTTCTTGTAGATTGTTTAAAAGAAATGTTATTAAAGTGGCTTATACTAGATTTAGTAATAACTGAACATATAAATTGCTCTAATAATTTGTCTTAGTAAAATTACCTTTAAAGTAAACACGGAGAAAATGCTAACTATATCCCTCGTATAGTTGCCAAGCGGGACGTTTAAAAACAGTAGAACTGACAAAAATGTCAACAATATATTCTCAAGGTCCTCAGTTTTGTCTTTGGATGATTTATACTTTTCGCGAAAAGTCTTGAAGTGATTCAATACTTTTAAGTATTTTTCCTCAAAAATGTTTTATCTATTTAATAGGCGGAGATATATTTATTCATGCTAAGTGTAATAATTATGGCAAGTTGTTTGAACTGACACAAGCCATCATTAATAATTTACCACCCAGATCTGTAGACAGATTCGAGGATATTTACGGATGGGTTTATCGTAATGGGCGTGATTTGAGTGGTTTTATTGATGGTAAGTTGTTTCTTAGATAAACTGTCTTCGTTGTTACATTGGTCTGCGACTCACAACTGATGTAAAACATAGTGTATGTGTGTATAGGTTCATGTTTCCACACTATATCCGAGAGATCAGATGAAGTCAGCAAGACGAATATAATCGTAGTAGACATAGTAAAATTACCAATGGTAACAAAAAAAATTAACCACAGAAAATATGATTTATTAAAGAAAAATGGATTCACGGAATGGGACACATCAAGTAACTTTAAAAAATCAAGATTGAAAGGAAAAACGGTCAGCGCGTCTGTTTCATCGCTGCCAATTCTGAGCTATATCACCTAGCCTTTGACATCATTGACTATAAAAACTGTGTATATCCTGATCATGTAGTCTGAATCATCTGACATGGCTTATAATAACGGTTAGTACCTTCACAAATTGATGCTATGTGTTTGCTTTTATGCCATCAACTTTTTCCCAACCTACTCCTTCAAGAATGGAATAACCTATCATTTTAGAACGTTGTTTGTTGTACATAATATGCATATAAGTCATTTCAGCTGTCAAAGATTTATGACATCATCACATTATTTTCCATCTCGATTTGATACCCTTTAAAATTTAAATGGTCGTAGAAAACTAGGATTAAGCCCCTTTCTACTCATAAATACAGGTTTCATTTAGTTTTAAGCGATATTCTACGCGAAATTCTAAACCAAGCGAAATCTTACTGCAAGAGAAATTACTGCTTAACAAATTGAATAATCTATTCCTTGTGCTTAATATGTGACGTAAAGATAAGAAGATAGATGGGTTTTGTTCCAAGAAAAGTTCATATATTCACAAACGTTGATCAAGTCAATTGTAATACTGTTAGGTATATGAATCAATTTTTCCACCTTTTTCATCTGATTATAATTTCGTTTATTTATATTAGTAAGTTGTAATTAATCATTTAAGCTATTCATTTGACTAAGACAAATCATTCATATGGATACAATTGAATTTGACATTTCAACATATACGGATGATATAAAGTAGTTTAATATAACAGATATTATATTAGAAGAACTTCTAATAACTAATTTGTATGAATAAGATATGCATATACTTATAATATGTATTCTGCTGTGCATCAAGGAACAATGAATCCGAGAGATCCAGATGAACGGGCAGAGGTAGCAATCAACACATATACAGGCGGAAGTTATGGTCTTGTTCAAAAATGGATTCATGATATGGATTTGCTTCGATCAACACCAGGTAATAAGCAAATAAATAATACATTGTCCTGTGTGTATTCAGTTAGGAAATTCTCTCGTGAAAATAAATATTCGAATGAATAGAATTGTGAGTAGCTGACTATGTGGTGTCATTTAAGAACCTTAACTAGTTATACAGCAATTAAGATATGAGACAAGAAATTCAGTCGAACTTAATTCCACTTTAGTCACACTGAATGTAGAATTTATGCTGTAGTTAGTTATTGATAATAAAGTCAGTACTTCTCCGTTATTCCGACAGTTTATTCTATCTTGATGTGGTGGCCGGGCTTGCCTGTGATGATTAATCGATTGAGATATACTCGCTGGAACAGTCGTTCATCAAGGTTCTATCATTTCAGAAAGGTCGGCTGAAGAGTGATAAGACTAATAGCAGCAAACCCAAGGTCCGAAGGCGAAGTCTTACTAATGGCTGTACATAAGCATGACAACAATAAGGTGTTTCCTTCAAATAACCAGCATAACGCCGATGCTGCCTTCTCACAAGGAGGGAAGGGGTCAGAAAAGGTCGACTCAAAAAATGCACATCTCACCTTATCCTACAGATTTCCGTCTCTAGCGGTAATGGTTCCAATAAATAGGGAGCTAACACGAAAATTACTCACAAAAAGAGTGTGTGTGACCGACCTCAAGCAGTCGTCTCACTTCTAACCCAATTTTTTCATGTAGCTCCATAAGTACCCTTCCACGGTGTAGACAACGGGGAAATGATAACTGTCTTTATACCTCTAACAGCATTCAAGATCACTATATTCATAATCAATCTCCCCATCCATTATTTTAATTGAATGATACGTTTATTTCGAATCTGATTGATCTTTTTTGTTACATAATTACACACAAACATGTTCAGATGTCTGTTTTAAACTTAGTAACTGCTAGACATACCATCATTATGATAAGTATTATTATTGTTGAGCCAAAACAGTGCATTTTTTGTCCATTATAACTTTCCCTTGTACTAAGTTGTTTATTTACGACAAAGTCATAGATGTTTATAGATTGATATTACTTATTAATAATGATATAATTGCACTACTTTTAAAGTGCATCTTGGTATATGAACAAAACATGATCTTATCTTTTTTTCTTACTATTGATCTAATAATGAATAATATGCATGGTATATATTGACAATAATGAAACAATAATACGAATCTTTAGCTTTCTAGCATTTAATAAATAAATCCCCATACTGATAATCATTATGTGCTCATTTGTGATTAACTTTAAGGCGGAACTCTTGGTGTACTTGTGAGAAGCTATGATTAATGGAGTCAAATCTGCGTTGAATGTGAAGCGGTTACTCATAAAAAACAATGAATGATAGTCGTGCAGTAACATGAATTAGTTGAAGTTAATACTAGGACAGTTGAGTTCTATCTTAGTTGTCTAGAGGTTAAACGTTTGTGAAGTAAACTGAATGTCCTGGATTTGAGTTTTGAGTGTGGGATTGTGGGTCGACACTGTCGAAGAGTACCATGCTAGAATGAAACGATCGTCTAGTGTCTGCACCTTTACAATGTTAGTCTAACTTAGATCAACTTGTCAATTCCATATTTAATCATAATTTTAAAAGAAATATTCATTTTGACGTAGATTAGTCAAGATTAAAGAGAAATCACTAGTTGAATATTTTTGATTGACATCATGAACTGAATAATGTTCGACCATCATTGAAAATCTAGAAGTACTGGACGGCTGCTTCTTCCTACAGTAGGACTCCTCAGCAGTACTCATTCACAATCTCGCTTACAAGATTTGAAGCCAGGTTCTTTGGTCTTGTATGCGGATGCTTAACCTCTAGATTATTGAGTCAGTATCCAACAATGTTATTGTTTAACTTCAACTAATCCATGAAATTGTGCAACCATCTTCCATTATACTGAGATAGATGTCTATCTCTACTCGACATCGATTAACTCTACTGGTCATATTAATTGATATCTATTGAAATTCTATTCAGAATATATTTAACATTATGAAATCTTATTTATTTATAGATAATATAAAAGAAAAATGGATTGGTCGAACAATTGAACATAGTTTTGCATTACATGATAAATCTATTACATCACATATTGCTAGAATGATTGGATGTAAGCAATATCATTATTATTACTTTTATTCAAATTGAAATAATCAATTATCAGAAAGCGTTTTGTGAAGATTTTTTTTTAGAAAGTTCAATAGTTGAAATCATGAATCAATTGAATTTAGACCACTATGGAAAACCTGAAAGCACTGGATGGCCGTTTCGTCCTAGTATGAGACTTCTCCGTGGCAGTGCGTATCCACGATCCTGCCCCCTCCGCGAGGTTCGAACCCAGTACCTATCAGTCTCGCGAGTATTTGGTTGTCCATACTGGTGTTCTAGTTCACTAATATTACAGAAAACTTGAGAACACTATAACTTAAGTGTTTATCAGCCGCTTGAATGTTTGATGTGAACAAAAAGTCATGAAATTCAACGTCTTATAAATGGAATTATCGGATGTAGTCGTTCCTTTTGTTCTATCAAAGTAATAGACATCATAGATACATAGAAATGTGTAGGATTATGTAACAAGTATTTAATGAAACTAAAGAAATTTGAATGACTTTCTAAACTGTTTACTAGATAATACTGAACATACTTTTTGTTATATCCTAAATGAGTGAGAGAATTGTATTCCTGACGTTTTGTAACTTAATTAAGGCCACTTCTTCAGAGTAAATAAGTAACCGACAGTAAATTGACACACATTCAAGTCTCGCGCGCGAGACTGATAGGTCCTGTGTTCGAAACTCGCAAGGGACGGGATCGTGGGTTCGCACTGCTGAGGAGTCCCATACTAAGACGAAACGGCAGTCCAGTGCTTCCAGGTTTTCCAATAGTGTTCTAGGTTCAATTGACTCATGATTTCAACTTTTGAAATAATTAATTAACAAGATTATAATTTATGGGACGAAACAATCAGGTATAAGATAAAAGGTCTAGGATTTTAGCGCGAAATTCATTCATTCATTTGGATAAATAGAGTTTTGGTATTATAGCTGATGTCAGTTCGTGATGAAAATCCTAAATCTAATTCCTATCCCTAACTATTAACTGTAAATCATAATTCTGATCCCTCATATTAGTTTATAACCCACAATTGGTCCTAGTTATTAAGTGAACACTATGAAAGTCAGTCGAACGTCGCTCGAAAGTTGTCCATCAATTATTGTCTCATTAATTAACTTATTTGTATTTTAATCCATAAGAGGATTTGGTAGAGATTGTGGTAATTCTAATGGTTGAATTCATGAGTCAATTATGCTAGACCAATATAGAAAAACTTGAAAGCATTGGAAAGTTGTTTCATCCTAGTGTGAGACTCTTCAACAATGCTCATTTATTTGTATTGTTATACAATAGAAGAGAATTTATACTCATTGTCATAAATGACTATTAAATGTATACAGTAGTGGTGAAGGTTTGAATTAGACAAGAATGAAAGTACATACTACTGATAAGTTTCATATTAGACTAGATTTCACTGTTATCTATCATCCAACCTTACTGAAAATTATTCCATTTGTTTGAAGATTTATTTGGTAAAAAAAATGAACAAACACTCTCTAAACGGTAGTATCAATACCTTCAAGATTTGAGATACACCTAAATGATTAGTTACAGTTACCATAAGATTTGAATTGAAATTGTTGAGTCGGATTTCGAGAACTACAACGGAGACTCCAGAAGCCTTAAATGAGCCAAAGAGTTCCAGTCAATTAGAGCATGATGGAGCTTTCTAGAATACAAACGTCACTGATAAGTCTTGCTAATTGAATGCTTTATTCAGTTCCTAAGCTATTCTGGTAACCCTCAAGCTATAACTACACAGCCACCTGAACACGAGAGAAAATATGCGAGAATCATTTTACTCCAAAGGTTCGTTTTTGTACAGAAAAACACGGGTATTTATAGATATTAACATTTGTTAAGTCAACATTATATTTTGACATGTTATGCTACTGACATATAGTAGCATGCCACGTTGATATTTTAGAAAGCTCCATCATGCTCTGATTGGCTGGAACTCTTCGACCCCTTTAGAGCCTCTGAAGGCTCCGTTGTAGTTCTCGGAAGCCGACTCAACACCTCCCCCGAATAAGATCTCTTCCTAGGATCCACTAGTAGCTTGACAACTAGTTTGCGGCGGCGTCTCATTATTCTTGTTGTCTTCCTTGTCTGAGACTTCTTTTCAGTGTCCTTGGGGATTCATAAAGTTGTCAAAGATTTTGCAGCGTGGGAGATAGCTTTTTCCGACCCATTAGGAGAAATGTGAGAGATGACTGCCAACTCAACAGAAAGCTTTTTGTTACCCACTTCCAAAACATTTCGATAGGTATTAAGAATTGAACAACATGAAACTAGTTACTACTCATCAGTTTGTTTGTATACTTGCAGAAATTAGTATGTTATGAACTGATAATGTCTGATCAACGGATCCGAAGTATTTTGAATAGACAATTGTGAATAAACATTTGTATCTTCTGGATGATGGCTTTCGTCGTTCTTCAAGTTTCTGCCCTATACAATAGAACTTCCTCGACATTTGTATTGAAAATCTCGACTGTGGTGTTGGTTTTCAGTTGTTTAGAGTTTCAGATGTTCTTCAGTTGTAAATATGCCTCTATTGCTTTACCGATCCGCACCTTCATATCTGAATTAGATCCACTGTGTTCATCAACGATACTGCCTAGATATTTAAAGGTTTTTACATCTTCCAAAGCTTCTCCATCAAGTATGATTTGATGGGTTTGCGTTTTGTTATGTTGTATCGGAGAATCTTGCTTTTCTGTTTGTGTACGTTGAGACCCATTGTTGCTGAGGCTGCTGCTACACTGATAGTCTTTGGCTGCATTTATTGTTGCGTGTGCAATAGAATAGCCATATCACTTGAGGACTCTAGTTCGTCCAATTGCATCCTAGATGTCCAAATGGTATCTTTGAGTTGACTTCGTTTTTCGATACAAATATCAATGTTTATTTTTATCTTTTTTTTCTTCTTCTATTAAAAGCTGCAGAAAGAGGTAAATGGCCAAAATTTCGTATCGTTCGACAATCTCAACCATATGGTACATTATCTGGTGAAGCTGGACTATTATTCATTGCATATGCAGCTGAAATAAAAAATTTCAATTTTATGCTAGATCGTATGACTGGTGATACTGAAGATAGAGAAATAGATGATGTAATGCGTTTTAGTCATTGTGTTACAGGAAATTATTGGTACTTTCCTAGTCAAGAAGAACTCACTCATTTAGTTACTATGGACAAACTAGAACCTTAACTCACAAGCTTAATCATATTTTTATAAAATTAATTTAAATGGATGATCTAGTGATTTTTCTTTCTTACTTAAACAAACGCTATTTAGTATTATGACATTCAGCGTTTGGTACACTTGTATCTAACCTGAAAGTAGATGATGTGCTATGGGTGTAGTGAACAAGAACACGAGTGGGAATAATCGGATGTATTTGAGCACAAAACTACAGAACATCTCAATACCTGCACTCCAGCGGCCTGCTGAGTCATCTGCATCTGATGTCCGCCCAGCATCCTCACGTCTCACCGCTCCTCTACGTCTACAGCACCCTCCAGAGCCAACGCTGCCAAGCCGGAAGACTACTCGATGTCACCTTTTCGCACCAGACTGCCCCTACTAGCACCTCAACTCCAGGCCCGCAACGGCGTCCGCAGGACAGCGCTCCTCCCCCTCCTTGTTGTCAGCGACACTAAACGTATTAAGCAGGAACTCGAGTGGGCTCAGTCGAATGTACTTGGTGCTACATTACAGAGTATCTCACTGAAATCTGAGAACCATACATTAAATAGTTAATTTGCAAAATATCAATCAAATGTCTCAAACTTGACTGTTTCTTCTGCATATATCAGTCCATTCTCTCAGATTTCATTGTTCATACAGTTTTATACCAACTGCCTTCTGTTCCTGTTCTTTCCTTCTCGATCTTCTACTGAAATACATTCCGTCACTGACCGTCATTATATACTACTTATATAGATATAAGTAGCTCACATCACAGGGGTAAATATACTGGAATGCCTGTATGTACAGTGATCTGATAGTTAAACGAATACGAAAAAATCGTTAAGATCATGAGTCATTTGATTCTAGACCACCATGGAAAACCTGGAAGCACTGGACGGCCGTTTCGTCATATTGTGGGACTCCTCAGTAGTGCGCATCCACGATCTCGCCCCTTGCGAGATTCGAACCCAGGACCTACTGGTTTCGCGCGCGAGCACTTAACCACTGACCACTGAGCCGGCATCCAACGGCGTTAGTGTCTAACTTCAACTAATCCACGAAATTGAGTGACACATTCACCATTGTCTTCAGTGAGTTACTATCTCACAACAGACCTGGTTGAACTCCACTGGTCACTGCTTCTCACTAGAACTCCAGGATATACCTCGTGAAGCCAGTCACTAATGAGCATATGTTGATTAATATCAGATGGGTTTTCCATGGTGGTCTAGCTTCAACTGACTCATGATCTTAACCATTGAAATTACTACAATCTCCACAAAACCCATCCGAATACGAAAAAAGCCAAGCTCAAGAGTCAATAAGCATATAAGCTGAATTTATACTTAATTATAACTATAATCGATAATAATAATAATAATTCCTAGTGGGACAAGATGATCTAGTAACTGAAACTATGCTGTGTGTTACTGATATCGACTTATATAAGTAGTATATAACATTGATCAAAAGTGAAATATTTGGCGGCAAAAAGTAAAGATCAAAATGAAAAAAGGATGAAAACATAGAATGATTGATATGAAAACGAAGGAACAGTCAATTTTGAGATAATTGATTGACATTTTGTAAATGAACTATTTACTTTATAAATTCACTTCGTATTGTTTAGCTCGAATCTTTCCATTGAGGTTTAGCACTGCAATTGATCAGTCTGTTATTGGCATATGTGTATCCTGTGTGAACTGTCCCAATATTGCCCGATGTCACAAACATTATAAGCAGAGATGGATAGTAGCTAGCAGTGGAATCGAGGACGCGCGTTTCGTTCTATTTGGGATTCGTCAGATGAATGTACCTGCATCTCATAATTGATGTTCACTGTGAGACTCAAACCCGGTACCGTTTCCTCCAAACGTTATCGCGTTCTCAACTTAGCTACTGAGTCCTATATAGTTCTCAGATTTTACTAAGTGATTCTGTTATTTTGTATTCAAGTGCAATTGGTTGACCATACTGGTGTTCTCGTTCACGAATATTACAGAAAACGGAATGTTAGAGTCTTCAAATAGCTGTATTTGATCATACTTCAGGTATGGTAGTCCTAATATCACCTGAATTATCCACCTCATCGTTAGCAATTGTAGAGACCCTGTACATCCTTTTAAAACGTACTTTGCAAATTTTGAATTGAAGCAGAACCGGTAGGATTCTGTCTCACAGGTTAATTCGGCAGTCTTTAGCATTAAGTCTTTGAAAGAAATGTTGTTGTATAATGAAATTCTTCTTCTTTTACTGCGTGTCCAATCTCAACAGAAGAGTATCGTGCATAGCATGCTTGCATGAATGTCGTCAGATCCAACATTCATTTAATATAAGTTTAAATGGTCTCCTTTGTTTCCTTTGTACTATTTAAACTTGTATTTCTTTTCTACTTTGAAGAAGTAGCTTACATTCAGTTACGAAACGTCAAAAATATAATTTTCTTACTCATTGGAATACAACAAAAGATATTTATTAATAACTCTCGACCCAATGGTCAACTTATTTAGAAATATCAAGTTCAATCTTGATGTTGACATTTATGTTTACTAGATACATTTAGTAGTCTTAATGTTGTTATATAAGATTAAATTAGACAGTCTTTGTTGACTTTCCAAATCCAAGAATGGATTCATCAACACTTACTTATTTACTTACACCTGTTACTCCCAGAGGAGCATAGGCCATCGACTAGCATTCTCAAACTCACTTTGTCCTTGGCCTCCCTTTCTAGTTCTATCCAATTGTTGTTCATTCTTCTCATGTCTGTCTTCATTTCTCGGTGTAATGTGTTCTTTGGTTTTCCTTTCCTACTTTTGCGCTGAGGATTCCAAGTGAGAGCCTTGATTGCTTTCGTTAATGTGTGTTCTATCCTTTGGGATCTGATTTGTTCTCTTAATCAGTATAACCTTATTTTCGTAAAACTACAATATATATATATTATTATTACTGACTGCGATCACAAACCAGGAAGAGTTTTGTTTAATCCTATGTGAAAACTTTATTTCAGTACTGATGTACTCGGTAAAATGGTTTGTAATGAGACTTCACTGATAATTTCTAATTTGCGTCTAACCAACATGAAATGAATGTTGTTACTTGAATTAGAACCATACTTAATGACACAAACACTATCTTAAGAAGTCCTTGAATATTTGCAAATATGAAATACAACATGGAGAGTTTATATTACTATCTCAAAGTAGTTAATTGCTAGAAGTAAATATTGATGGTCCGATTACAAATAATTTGTTTTTCAATAGTTGAGATCATGATTCAGCTAAAGTTGGATCACCATGGAAAACATAGAAGCATTTGCCGACTATTTCATCCTTCTATAGAACTCAGCAGTGTGTATCCATGATCCCGTCTCGCGAGATTCAAACCCAGGACTTATCAATCTCACGGTCGAGCGCTTGACTACTAGACGTTGTCGTTGTCGAGTGATGTTTATGAAACGAAATTCAGGTTCTTAATTTCAACAGAATTTACTCTTGTGCTGAAATACAAATCATTTGAATTTTATTATTCTAAAGGAATATGCTTATTATGAGAAAGGGGATTTGCAGAGATCATAATAATTATAATAGTTGAATTCATCAATCAAGTAAAGCTAAACCACCATGGTAAACCTGAAAGTACTGGATTATCGTTTCTTTCTATTATTGAGGCACCTCAGCAGTGGGCATCAACTATGTCACTCGTGCGATTCGAATCCAGGACCTATCAGTTTACTTATAATATGGAGTACCAGATTTGTTTCACACATGGTGTTGTCATCCAACTCCACCTGGAGCCCCTCTAGTGCTACTACTGCTCTCAAGCCTGGATAAAAGAGGAGGGTTAGGCTTAGGGTTAACGACCCCATGTTGTTGGAAACTAACTCACTATAAAGATGCTAAAATAATTCAAACCATAAAACACCTTGTCATTCATGATAAATCCTAAGTGATTACTTCCAAATCGATTACTGTATACAGAAACAGCTACAGATGCTTAATGTTCCGAATTCTTCAAGAAGTCTCAAACTAGAATGTATTTAAGTTACTAAGCAGTTGATTTTGCAATAATGATGTTTTAATATAGAACTATTTATGAAAGTAACTCTGATGAAGTGATTCAGATTGATAATTCAATCTATTTGATAAGGTTCACTATCATATTGGGATTATTGTGAAAACTATTCATAATCAGTATGTGGAACCTTTCAGAATTAATATTCACGAAGTCTTGTTCTCTGAGCTGGATGGTTTGGTCGTGGAACTTTCGTCGTTCTTCTGAACGACATCATCAGCATAAACTTTATCCAAATCATCTACCTGAGCTATTAATCTTCTCCACCATTTTTCGCCAATCTCTCAATTTCGGGAGAAATCTGACTCATTTTGGGGAAGCCACTCTGGAAAAGTTTTGGGGAAATATCACCAAAACCTCAAACCTCAAACTCCCTTAAATTTTTCCAGTATCTTATTACACTTTAGGGAAATCGGCTTGTATTTATTAATAAAAAACCCAAAGTTTTTCATAATTTTGAGTAGATTTTACTTTCTTTTACTGAAAATCTCCCCAAACTTGGGAGATTGGGTCTGAATCAAATAATATACCGTGTCGGGTAGAGACAAGTATCCACCCTAGTACAATGGAAGATGGTCATGCAATTTCCATCCCATTCACTCACTACTAGTTGCGTACTCAATCACGTAATGTTCACAGTCATGATAAGTGTGGTTCGAGTAAAAATATCTGTGTATATTGACGATAGGAGGAAGTCGAAGGAGATAGAGAAAAGGATACGATATTATGATTAAAAGTGTTTGAATTAATGCACTAACTGGGAAATCTTGAAACAATTTATGTCAGACATAACTAGATAAACTCAAATGAACTTAATGTATTTGGAATTCATAATAAGCAGGTAATCATATACAGAGGAATCATTAGTTCGTACAAATACCACATCCGTCACAGCTTATTCAAGAATCCGAATTTCTGTAATCAGTTGTACTTCTTCTAATTAGGTTCATTGTGTGTCTGTCTGACTGTGTATTGAATGTAGACGCTGTATAATTTAGAATGTGCTCATTGGTGTCAGGATTAACAAGTGAAATTTGAGCAGATTCACCTGATTCCTTGTAACATATTCAGTTGTTGTGACTGACTCGCATATGGACCACAGATTTATTGAGTTGTTTTAGCAGAAAAAGAATTGTTTTACGAAACTTTTTTTGTTTAAGCGATTTCATCATTGTTTCTTTTCTGTACGATCTAGTAATTCCATTTTTGGGACTTTATACCCTCTCCTCTTCCCTCCAAGTCTTTGAATTTTGCAACAATGATAAAAATGATGTTGATTTTCAAGATTTTAAAGTTTCTTGCTTGCAGTTGAAAACAAGGGGATTTTGGAGTTAGCAAGTTATTGTGCACTCCATTAGAACCATTTCCAATGGTCAATAGGGAAAGCTGTCTGTGAACCTATCATAGACGATCTACACCCAATGATGAGAAATTCACAATTTATCATTGATGATTTATTGTCCCTAACTAAAAGAATACAATATCTAAGAATAGAATAGACTACGGCCAGTAATACTCGAAATATGAACTTAGATAGGTATAATTGTAGCATCAGGATTTAAGGACTTCTACTTCTCAACAGTAATGATGAAATTGATACGATCAATGTCAACAATAATATCCTGAGAAGCACTACTGAACAGATATAATCGAAGTACACATAAAATACATGAGTCAATGTGATACACTGTCTCATAATTAATACACGTAGTTCTAGTATCTTGAAAGGAGCACTTTAACATTTGCATGAGTTCTCTTTCCAGATTAGATGGTATGTTATTCTCTGAAATCAATCAATCGCTGCATCTTTATGCAGCTGCAATGTGTACATACGGTGTATTAAGCTCATATTATATACTATGAAACTCTGTATATCTTGTATACGCTTATATGTATAT